AGAGAGAGAGAGAGAGAGAGAGAGAGAGAGAGAGAGAGAGAGAGAGAAAGTGTGTGTGACCGACTACTTGAATTGTGGATTTGGTGAGTGTGTAAGACAGATAGAGATGCATAATATGCAAAGCAGCGTGTGAACCAATTTCTACACAATTAAATTGATATTCGAGAGCCAAATAGTTCATTTAAATACTTCAAAATACGCGGTAGTTTACAACAGTTCAAGAGGCCAAATATTCTCTCTCTATACATATATTTATATATGTGGCTGTTGAACATTTAGTGGTCATTGTTGTTTTGTTTGAGCTGCAGTTGGCTAAATTATCTGCAAAATTTCTCTGGCACACCAAAGGCAAGTATAATTGAACGGTAAATATAATTGTAATTCATAGTTCACTTGCATTCGTTTATGTTCATTTCACTTGTTTTGTTAAGCCATTCGCCTGTTCCTCTTTATTGGCAGTGGTAAAAATAGATCCAAATCATTTTCCTATTTCTCTTTTTGACTACAATCATTTTATACAATTTTATCGACCAATTAACGTGGAAATTTTCAATAAATTATCCTTTACCCGCGGAAAGTAATTCGTTTCCATTTCAATTCAAAGAAAATCGTTGAAATTTATCTGAAGAAAAAGAATGAGACGAAACCTGCAGAAAAAAAAAAAGATTGTTCGCAGAATATAAAGCAAGGAATAGTTACAAAGAACTAACAAAAAAATCACTATTATCTGTCTGAATGAAGTTTTGACGGTCGTAAAAACTTCATAAATCAAGAGCCAAAAAAAGAATCCTGAGGAACATGGTATATAATACATCCATCGCATGTAGTGAGCTAAACAAAACACATGCGAAAACAAGATATGTAAGGGAGAACGAAAAAAAAGCGAACGAAAAAAAAATGTGTAAACATAGCATAATGCGGCATTTTCATAACAACACAGCACACTCATATATATATATATACATATCGGTGTTCATTCACTTCTGGAAAATCAGTACTTTGTTAGCTGTTTGTAGCCATTCACAAAAATGGGCTACTTTTTATATGTGTGTGTGTGTGTGAGAGAGAGTTTTCGTAGTTTTCTCTTGTATGCAGTGCCGGAAACATTTTAGTGTCTTCCTGGTAAAAAGCACAATTTCCAATGAATTTTACGTGGAATATTGATAGCATTTTCATAGCTGATTTCGGCTCTTTTTATCTGCTGATCAATCACATTTATTGAATTAACATTTGACTTGTTTTAAATTGAGCGCAATTTACTGAACAATGTAAACTGATATTTTTGATATGGTTTCTTTTCTAAATTAAGTGAACCGAATCAAATTAAATTCGTTCGGGTTTTTTTTTTCTAGGAAAAAAACAAAGAAATATTGTCTTTTTCTTTTGAATTATTTTCCTCAAGTCCATTCACTCCTTCGAGTTCAACGAACTTGGTTCGATTTTTCTTTTTCTCCCAGCAATGAATGGCTTTTTTTTTCCTTTGCTATCCTCGAGTAAGCGATGTACAATGAACCACTTACAAGTTCATTTGATGTTGAGAATGATGTTTTTCTTTTCTTCACCGAGAGTACCCATGATTTGCTGAGTTGCAGTTAACTGGCCACATAGTGAAACATGCGATATACTCTATCAAATGAGGCGTCTCCAATCAAGTGACTATAAGATAGATGCTAAACACAAAATAATCAAAAGATACTGTACGCAAATCTCGTTACTCTCCATTTGGCTTGGTTCAATTCTGTTCGGTCGTATTTTTTTCTTCTGCCTTTAATTTTCTTCCATTGTCGGCGGCGATGCGCCATCGGTATATTGTGATTTAATCACGAATGATTGCACTGTCGCGCCGCTCTATGTTCATTCCCATGCAATTCCATTTGGGTCCGAAGGTGGTGCGAGTGTAATCTACCCATCTGCATATTCTCACATTGTTATTCATCATAAAGAGTCATTTTGATGCTTCTTCTGTTTTACATAATTTTCATCTTGAGAATGTGCTCGTGTCTAATGAAAATATCCAAACCATAATTTAAAAGTATTTCTGCACCAAATAAGAATTTAATAAACTGTCAACGACTCTTTTATCCAACGGCTCTTAGTTGTCTCCTCCTTCTGCTCCTCTCTCGCTGCCTTGGTTCGGCCCAGCTAGATAGCATAAATCCATCATGAAAAATGTATCGATCGACTAGCGACTTAGAATTAGTCGATTACAGTGTACTCATTCATTCCGTGGCTTTGGATGATCATTGCTATCCGGCGACACGAGATGAATGCTTTGACAATGATTAAATAAAAGAGCTATTTAAATATAACATTCATCCATATCACAAGAAAATGCTGTTAAATTAGATTAAGTGCGCTGACGTGCACGGCAAGTGTTGAATGTACACAAATTTTCGAAATTAAAATGCATATTATTGCAATGAGTGAATGTCAAAATAATAGCTATTCAGTTGAGATGCAGTATGGCTGCTGCCACAAAATGCTAAAATATCATCTCATGACTCGGTGCAATTCGGTGCAATTTTCGCCACACCGAAATGATTTCGTATGCTGTTCAGGCATTGGAAATGCCGAAAACAGTGAGAGAGAATGGGAACACATTTCGTTGAAATCCATTTTCATAAAGTTAAGCTGACATGGTCTTTGGAGCAGCATGATACCATTGTGTTTGCATTTATTAGAGGCAGTCTGCCTGTATGTAATACGGTGTCTGTGATTTGCATTTGAATCGAAAATTCCTGATTTACAATCGTCCGCACAATAAGCCTTCGGAGTGAGAGAGAAAAAAATTACATGAAATTCGAAGATAATGCTCAAGATTTTCACTGAGACTGTGTACATTGAAAGAAGTGGCAAAAAGCGATGAATTGAATGACACTGTGAAAAATGCAATAAAATGCTTTCCTTTTTTGAATACCTAAGAAAAGGGGTTCATTGCTATTGAAAATGTAAGGACCATCAACTGGATATACTGTACATAATAATGTATTAGTATTGGCATCAGGCGACATAAATGGGAACGGTTGATGTGGTGCAACCACAAATCAGGAGCAGACATAAAGTGGTTAGCCATTGAATGGGAGAATTCGACAGATCAGCATATTGAATTTGGTACTCCAAGAAGATGCAATCAATCAATACTTGGCGTGTACTTTTCCATGCATATATGAAGAAGGTTCATGGACGGTATGTGTCGAAAACGTCAAGGTTTTCTCACAAGTGTATAACAATTCGATGTACAGGCCAGTTATTGAATGCATTAAAAGCTAATTTCTTTCGAAATGTTCAATGTGTATTTGTGGAGGAAATAAAGTGGGAAATGCACACATACACACACACATACAGACAGACGCATTTTTTTTCTCTGTTGAGTGAATGCTACGAACTATTTTGCCATCCGTTTGTTACTCAATGAACCCATAATCACAAAAAGATTGCCTTTTGGATACGATCCAAAATTGTAACATGCAGTAGTGTCTTTCTGTCTCGCTGTATGATTGCCAGCTCGGCATCGATTCCATTTTGTGCTGGAAAAGTTCAGTTGGAATGATTCCCAAGAGATGCTTCACCATCGTACCAAAAATGTACACAATACACATAGTTGCAGCAAATTGGGCTTTTACACCACATTCCATTCATCTGGCGCGCAAATGCTGTAATCAACGTTATTTTTTGCTTCGCTTTATTTTACCATACGGAGGCAATAAAAATGCATTTTATGTTCATGAAAATGATTCGAATGCCCAACGACTTTACGGTCTGACAATTCATTTTCTCTCTCTCTCTCTCTCTCTCTCTCTCATTCTCTTGCACGCTTCGTTCTCCCTGTTTGCCTCTGTTCACCTCTGTGTTGCTCTATTTTCCAGTCAAATGTGAGATCAATCAATATGTAATAAAAATGAATGCTAATTTGTCGCAAGCCACTTTGCCATTAGTGATTGGCAATGCCAATAGATGATTGATACGGATGGCGACAAACGTTTTATTCAAATGGTTGTGGCAACAGTGAGGCATCACTTATCCTCTTTGCCACTATGTATAGTATATACGGCAACACTTCGCATTCCGGAGCATACGAATCTAATTCAACAAACGCACGGACGAACACTTTGAAAATGAATATGCGGCGAAATGTATTAAGGAACTATGCATGATCATTCGTAATTATTTTCGCATTATATGTTTGGCGTTCGATCAATACACAAGGTTTTATATATATACGCACTTAGTGCACATTTTCATTTGGTCGATTAATTTTAGGCGTCCATCTCGCTCTGTCTCGTTCCGCTGACAACTGGCGACAATAATCTCCTAATTATAAGCTAATGTTGCATTGATATTTCGACGAACTGTGACAGCGAAACCGGCGAATTGGAACCATGGAACGTAAATTGTTGTATGCCTTTCGAGGATGGATTGCCTTCGTCGCGTTTATGGATTTGGGCACAGCATTTCGCAGTTACATCGAAAAGCGCAGTTTTTTGGGCGATCCATCCGATTCACAATACATTGCTGGTAAGTGTTAAAATACACAGTTTACTTCATTTTAGTTCTCATTTTTCATTCGATCGCAGATTTATTTTTTATCGAATACGACCCTAACACGCAAGGAACAATATTTGAATTCGTATTGCTTGGCTCGGAAAAATGATGCCATTTCGATGTATGTATATGGTTTTTTTTTTACAAGAACGAAGCCTATAACTTTTCCCATATGAATTCATTAGGCGTATTTTTGTGCAGTTTTCTAAACGATTTCAATCACGTACGCCTCACTGAATGGCATCGATGGAAAAAAAAGTATGCTGCATTTGGTGTATGAGTTGATATCAAAATATGAGTGCCGTATGATATTCTCAATTTAACACATAACACTAACATCAGATCTCTACTCGTTGACAATTTTCAAATCTTGTCCCACCTATTTTCTCCCTCTTCTTTTCCGTTGTTTTCGCACCATATTTTGCCATTCAATGCAATTTTAAGTCAGACTGAACTTGTTAAACTAACGCATAACTGCATTATGAAAAACTTTGTGCAATCATCGAAGGCTTTTTCTATGGTAATTTGCAAAGCCACGAACTCATATTATCGGTCAAAAGTTTAATTGAGAGAGCATTGAAGTTCAAATTGGATCATAAAGCTTTGCCAAGTGGCAAAAACAAAAATGTCGCATGCAAAGTAAGGCCGCTTTTTTCCCTCGGCACATAATTAAATGAAATTGATTTCGGAAATGTGATAAGAATTTTTGAGGTAAAAACTTATCAGTTTTTCATCATACACGAACATCATACAGTCCAGGTTTTCTCTCTCCCTCTCTTCATATTTTACGTGTTTAAGTAAAATAAAAACAGGTTGAAAGTTTTTGCCTTGAAGGATAACATACAATGTTGGCTATACACCGTGCACCAAAATCGTTGTGTTTCAATTTCGTCAATATTTTCAGAGAAAATCCCTTAAAATTGTTTTTCCTTAATCTGTTTTTTTTTTCTGCCAGGTGACTACACAATATCACGTATAATCGGAATGTACTGCATTTTAAAAGCGTTTGCCTTAGTTCATTGTACATTATACATCCATTACAAGCCGTAAGTATTCCGAATATAAATTTTCCCTAGCATCTCGTCATCGTTCTTCCGATATATGTGGCCATTATTTTTGGCTCGATATCAAATCGAATGACCATACAATTTCGCAGACGATGGTATTTATGGTGAACTTAATGCATATATTCAGGAAGTGTCTCCTGTATTGTATTGACACATCTTTCGGTCGATATGTTTCATATGCTTCTCCTCATCATCATCATCACCGTTTCTGTTTTGTTAATCAATGTGTTTTTGTTTCTTTTTGCATGTTGGCGTTTGGAATTGGCAACCAATGAACGGCAGCGTTGTGAGTATGGGAGGTTGTTCATTAGCACTAACAATGATTTTGTACTTGACGGAAGCGTTGTATTTCCGATCGAGCACATTAACATTCTACGTAATATTCCCATGTGTACTTAATTGTAAGTGTTGATTTGTTTACAATGGCAAAAGATTTTAATATCGTTAGAAATGGCATAAACATTGATTTATCTTCTCTGTTTCCTATTTTTCACAGCAATCACATTGATTGGCCTTATTTATATTCCAAAGAGATTGCGTTTATGGGATCCACATATTGACAATGGTGACGAAAACTCGCAGTTGTTGAAACAAATGGGCGGATTTAAGAAGCGTCGTGTGCCGAAAAAAATGCCCTAAACTGAATCGAATTTGGCAGGCGTTTAGCAAATGATAGTGGAACTCTGCCTCCGACCCATATACCGAACATCATTCATACACACACACACACACACACGCGTTCACATACATACTCAAAAGCCGAGATCGAGTCCATCTCTTTACATGAACTGCTTACAAATTTCAAAACGTTCTCTTATAATGAATCAAATTTAACCCATTTTCAACCGAATGATCGAAAAACCAAACATTTTGTATGGATGAAAAAGAACGCACGGTAGCAAATGGGTTAAGCTTACCATACACATACACATTACTAAATTAATTAAAGCCTGTTCAATTACAATATTCCCATTTCATCGATAAACAAACTTTTTACACTTCACCTTCATACAAAGAAAAATAAAATAGAAAAAATTTGTAACTCGTTAAATGCTAAATTTCTTGCAGTGATACTTGCTCGCCTAAATCGAACAACAGGTGCATGATAAAAAAAAAAGTAGACAGTAGCCAAATACAAAAGTTTGAAATGAAACACGGTGCCTACGTTGAAAACTTAGAGGTTCGTGTTTTGGATTTTGCATTCATTATAAGGTTGATCATTTAAATAAAGCATAACCGACAGAAATAAGCACCAAAATAAATTCCCAAAAAAAAAAATCAATTTTGATTCACTAAAGAAGACAAAAAAAAAATTATTATAGCTTTCAAAACTAACATATGGTCCAGAAATATGCACGAGTATTTAAATCAATTTATCCAATTAAAATTTAAAAAAACACACACGACAACAACTAATCATTCAGAAATCCACAATCGAAACCATTTTTCACGTACAAATACCTAAAGCCTTGCCAATAATCTAATAATAATCAAGTGCAATAGTAGACGAATTTGCACACTCTAGACGTATGCATATTCATCCAAGAGATTTACTTCTTCATCATGGTTTCACGAATTAGGCGCGCACATTTTTCTTTCGATAAATGGAAAATTATATGCGATTTCTTTGTAGATACGTTTTTCCTTTCTTCAAATAAACATAAGACAATTTGTATAATCAAAAAACAAATATTTATGATTTTCTTATAATCGACGTTCGGTTTGGTTTCAATTCGTTTTTTTTTTTTTCGTTTTCGAGATGGAAGATATAGATAAATAAATGACAATACATTCAGTGAAGACAGCGAATAGTTTTAGGGCCAAAGATATAAAACAATTGTTGAGTCCGACCGAAATGGAATTGGCTTATTTGGGTGTTTCATTCGCCGAAGATGTTATCATATAATTTAAGGTTGCGCATCAATCACAACTTAAGTGAAAAAAAATAAGTTGAAATTTGTTCTGTAATTTTTAATCTTTATTTATCAATAAGCCATTATTTGTATAGAAAAAAAAGTTGTTCGTTTTTTTTTTGAAGAAAAAAAAATGCATAAAAGCATGCTAAAGATAAGCCAAATGAACTTCAACTCAATGGCTCAAAACCAATTGCTCATTAAATAAAACTAAAGCTATTTTCCATGCAAGAAATAGATATACAATTTTTAGTAGCACATACAAAATGAAATGTAGTATGAAAACAGGATCATCATCTCCGTTCTATTTCTAAGTACTTAGTACGTCACATTTATTTAAAAAATAAAATATTTAATCACACAAGTACAGAAAAAAAAGTTTCTATGCAACAACAAAAAAAGCTAATTTATAATCATCTACTATAATTAGCAGGCAGTAACTAAAGAAAAAAAAAATGAAAACGAAAAATTCTTCCTAGACAAAAAAAAATTATCAAAATAATTTTTAAATTCAGCGTAGCTAATACGATCGAATATAGCGGATTGTAGATCACATAAGAATTGAATAAAATGAATCATACACAGACACAGACACTCCACATGTACAAATTGAAGACTGAATGAAAATGCAAACTGAATGAAAGCTGAGAGTCATAAGAAGACCGACATCGCCAAAAAAAAAAATGGGTGATGCGCTGATGAAAGACATCAATAATTAATAGTAGTCTGGAACAGGGGCACATGCAATTTTAACAAAATCACTGTAATGCACTGAACCATTGTTTTGAACATTTGCCTCGCGGAAAATGTTATCTATTTCGCGCACGGATAAACCTTCACCCCAATTTTGCAACAAGTGTCGCAATTGTTTGGCTGGTATCGTGCCCTTATTATCCATGGCCGCTTTAAAAGCATCGATCACTTCGTCCGGTAAATTTTCCACCTTTGAGTGTTGATGCATCACATCGAGGAAATCGGCAAAACTCATTCGGCCATTCTTTTTGCGTAAGTATCGTGTCAGTTCCTTGATTGTTGGCGATAGACCAAGTGAGCGCATGATAACCGTTAATTCATCGAGTGTGGTTATTTGACCGGAACGTGCAAACAGGTAAAAGCATTCACGAAACTCTGTAAATCATGTACAGACATTATTTAATGAAGAAGAAGAAAAAAATCGAAATGTAAATTTAAGCGAAAAGCAAAAACAGAATAAAATCTGAAAGATACTTCTGAAAAAGAGGAAAACAGGCAAAAATCAGGTCACTGCTTATGTCACCTAATTTCTAGTATTTATTAGCACTTACCATCGATGTCTTGTTCTTTGAAATAACGAGCCTGAAATAAGTATACAATATCAATGATTAACTTCAATTGAAAATTCCAGGAATACAATCGACAAATGCAATGATATACAATGTTTACCATTTTGATTTTCCAAGAGAAATATAATGAAAATTCAATTAAATCTAATGAATTTGATGGGCCAATTTACACAACAATGCACACTTGTTGATGAAACGAATATGAAAACACATAAATACCACTGCATACACACAGATCGACTGATGTTAATACACCAGCGTTGGCAACCCTGCATTAAATGTCATATAAATGATTAAATACGAATAGAAAACGTTGATAATTTCGTGTTTTTGTCTATTTCCTGCAGATAAATTTGAAGAAAAAAAAACTTAATTTAAAATAAAAATCGGGTTTTCTGTCAATGAATATAGTTAAAATTTATGTTCAAGTTCATATTTTACGTGAAACCTAGTTATCATTTGTGTTTTGCTAATACTTGCATGTGACGACATCTATAGGCATTCGTATAAACCGATTCGCTCTTGTCAAATATCTGCAGCATTGTTTTCGGATTTCTTGTCGCGTTCAGAGAATTATTTTTGGTTGAATCTTTTGTGTGCTCATTCAACTCCGAAAAAATACGCCTTTTCTTTGTAAAAATTGTAGTTATTTTCAAGTGAAAATCAAAATTTGGTCGATTCCACTCTGGATCGGTTCACATAGAATGTGATTTTGGTTGTATTGCAATAAAAACATGTTTTCGAATCTCGACAATTTTCTCAACGGTAAACCGAAGACAATAACAACAAACAAGTGCATGTTTTCAGTCAGATCTGTTTCAATCTTCTATTCCAGGCATAGACAACATCTGTAAACAGCAGCTCAATGATTTGCCGGACACATTGCAAACGAATGAAAATGACAGTTTTGATCTCGACTTGTCAACATCATCTGTGACCAAACCCAAATCGAAGACCAACGATGATGATGGAACGGGCCAAGGTGCTTCATTTGTGCCGTCCAAAGGACAGAAAACAGCGGCCAAACGGTTAAAAAAGATTGGTGGTATGTAATCTATTTATATAAATACATTTCAACGATACACAAAATCAGTTCGAAGGTGTTGATGTATGAATCTTAATTGTAGACACACTGCAAAACAATCTGGTTGAAGCAAAGCGACTGCAAGGCCAAATGGAACGGAACATTGCCAAAGCGTCCAAACGAAAGTCACCAAAAAAACCGACTGGTGCACGCCCAAGAGGACGTCGGGGACGCGCTGTCAACTTGAATCCATCGGATATGTCATCATCAGACTCTGATGCACCACTATGTTCATCGAATCGAGCCGTGCAAGGCCGATCGCAACCAGCCTACGATCCAAATACAATAGTTTTAGACTGTGATGATGAATTTATTGGTGGGCCAGCGGTAACTTTCACTCGCAATGTGGCAGCGGCATCTGCAGTTTCGGTCGAAGAAAGCAAGGATTTGAAGGTTACAGTTCGCATTAATGGCAAAATTGAACATTATTACATGAACGTAGTAAGTCACTTTTGAGTTATGACTACTTGTCTGATATTCATGTTTCAAACTATTTAATCTGCAATTTTTGACAGTTCCAAAAGTTGTCTGTGTTGACTGCACAACTGAGCGAAAAGCATACTGTGCCTTCGGATCACATTGCTCTGATGTTCAAAGATAAAACCGTGTCGGAACAAGAAACACCAAACTCGATTGGCTACATTCAAGGTTTAGTTCTACGTAAGTACAATCATTCGACTTATTTTCGATAAAAGCACCGGTGATTGAGACTCCTAATATAATAATTTCATGCATTTTTTTTTTGGTTTTGCCAGGGGCACACGTTTCTGATATGGTTAATAAAAACAAAAACATGGCGAGCTCAATGGCAAATACAAATGCAAATAAATTGGAAATTAAAATTCAGGCTGAAGGTCGCAAGCGACCATTCATTACTTACATTGGTGCAAAGGACCAGCTGATTACGCTTGCTTTTGCATGTGCTGAAGAATTCAAATGCGACGTGGACAAAGTTGCCCTAGAGTGAGTTGCCATAATTTTTGTATCTCAATGAAATGAATACAAACCAAAAAAAAAAAAATGCTAATTCATTTGTCCGTTTTGCAGATTCGATGGTGATTTCATTAATTTTAAAGAAACTGCCGAGGATTTGGCACTGGATGGTGGTGAAATGATGGATTTCTTTATGAAAAAATGAACCAATTAATCTTTGAAAAACAAATCGAACAAGCAAACAACACAAAATAAATACAAATGAAAAAATGAGAGCAAAAGCCTAATTTATATAAATAATGAGATAAAAACAAGTATGTTTATAAGTTTCAGATTGTTAAGGCATTGAATTTAGAAGAATTTTTTTTACAAATATTACCCAAATCAGCAGTTCATGTAATTGTTAAACAAAAATGTGGTTAAACAATCAAGTGAACATTCAAATGTAATAGCAATAAGAAAGTAAAATCCAAAAGCAAAAACAATTGGATCGAAGAAATTGTTTCAAACCAAATAAACAGGCAAATCAAGCAAATGGCAATACTTCAACGCTCATTTTCATCAATTTTCCATGAAACAAAATCCGGTCCAACGACCGTTTTTTTTCACATTTCCTTTGTGAAAATAAAATGGTAAACAAACCGAACAAAAACAATCAGCGCTAAATCAAAAGAGCATCAAATGAATGCCATCTGCATTATGTCTAAATGCCATTGTTTGTGGAATGTGACAGTGACGATCGCCATTCTTAATGGGCTGTACTGTTGCTTCAGCATACCCATCTATATTTCTATATGACCAACAACAAAAAGTGGCACGACATTGAAATCTAATTTCAAAATGAGTGCATCGTTATGCTAAAAATGTGGTTATAACGCCTAATGAAGCCCTGTGATAAAAGAGACACGACTGAGGATTTGTTTCCCCCTGCCAGAGATCGAGACAATGAATGAGATGAATGCATTGTTATTCCTGTAATTGGAATAATTGGAACTGGAACAAGGTTTCGCGGTGTTGATACTCTTCTGTGCATCATGTAAATGGATGCGTTCGGATAAACAACCGTTAGGACATCGTTCAACCAAGGTTAGCTATTTATAAGCGATCGATAGCCAACATTGTGATTGATTTCATGAGATGAGGGATGTAATAAGGGACGCAGACCATGTGATTGATTAACAGATATTTCATCTGCTCTACTTTTTATTCGTCGTGGTGTTTGTCAATATCAACAATTTTGCTCTACATTTTATTTCCCCCTTCCCACTAGAACTAATTAGTGCAGGCAGTACCATTTTTCATCTCGCGCCAACTTGAAATAATTATAGCTCTAATTTACGCTCATTGTGAGAGAATGACTGAAAAAAATAATAAAAAAAATAAAATAAACGGTTTATTTGTTTTCACCTTAAATAATCATCCATTGGGTAACTGGCACTAAACGTTTGCATTTATCTGCGCTTCAAAACCAATGTACTCTGATATGTGCTGCCTGAAACTAGGTTAAATTTACGGTATATAAAAACAAACATACATGCACAGTGCATGAAGAGAGCAAGAAAGAGAAAAACACGAAAATTTCCGTCTCGCTCAATTGTGAAAATACATTGACACATGGGCACATCGGCCTATGTAGTTAGCGAATTGTGCACATGCTCACACAGAGTAAAGTAACGTTGCACTTTCGTTGCACTCTACATACATGCATTTATCGTGTGGCAAAATGCTATTTGAAATTTCCCTCGCTGGCGGTTCTTCCGCACATACGAAAATTCATATTCTTCCAAAAAGAAATAGAGCGTATGTGTGATTTCGGGTGAAGACTATGTGTTGTATTTTTGTGGTTGTTCGCTTCGGCATGCATCGTCTTCCGGGAAAAACACATACAATAAATAATAATCCATTCTGTTTCAGAGGAGATGAAACACGAGAGCCAGAAAACTGAATATACTTACCTTTCCGTTGAATAGTCACGAAGTAATGTATGCCACTCGTCGATTAGGCTCTTAACTGAAACCATTTTTCGCATTGAATGAAAAAAACAAAGAGATCGCACGTGCGGTAGAATGGTACGCAGTCATCGACATGAATGGGTGAGAAATTAAAAAAGCTCGTTACTTTGAATTGTGGTGAGTGGCAAAAAAAAGAACGAGCATGAAAGAGCATTTTGCGTTCGAGTATCTCACAAAGTCGTTAAGTATATGTATAGAAGAGCCACATTTTCTGCAACAAAATCGCATGGGGTCAATATACAGACTGCTAATGAATTAAAAATTAAAGCACACATGCAAAGCGAATGCCATGCCCTGATATACCATACCGTGCCATACTACCAGGTATATTTGTCGCACGGAATTTTTAATCCATTTTCCGCTTAGTTTATGCTCTTGTTCGGTTCTGTTCTGTTCCGCTGATATGTTGGTATTTATGCTCATGGTTTATTTTCATGGTGGTGGACGAGGCAAGCGGAGTCAAATATCCCAAAGTACTTGAGATAGAAAGCGAGAGAGGGTGAGAAAGAGAAAAAAATAAAGTAAAGCCCGTGCTATAGCCCACAAAATATGGTTATTTTTATAGAAGAATTTTATGCACAAATATTTCGTGTCTTAATTCTGCTTATACACGATAAATGAAAAGCATGGTAAGGAGCGCGGGCCATTTTTCCCGTCGTTGTCCTCCTCCTCCTCTTTCTCATTGTGGTGTTTCCATCAATTGAGCCGAACACTAATGGTTGTGAACACGAAATGGAGAGAACAAGTGAACTAGCGAGCTATGTATGTGCTTGAGCGAGCTATCTTCAAACATTTCAATTGAATATGCTTTTGCTTTTACAAACTGTGAGTTAAGCTATTAATAGTTCGCGGTGGATTATATTGTGTTGCAATACATACGGGGGTAGAATTTATTTTTCTCTTTCGCTCTTGCTCCATAGTTTGGTTCGCTTCGCTTCGTTGTCGCATCAATTTTGTCTGTTATTGCTGTTGTATTGTTTTCGATAAAAATAAAAAAAATTAAAAAGTGACGCAACTATGAAAAATCATTGAAGGCTCAATTTGATGGACGTATATGTACATTTGCACGTGAAAGTGTCTGTGTGAGTGTGAGCGTTGGCGTTTGTGTGTGTGTGTGTGTGCACAGCACATGGCCATCATCCTGTTGAAGCAAAAAAGCTTAGCTGTTGCTTATGTATTCGAGCGTATGCATTTTTGATATTGTATTTGTTGTAACATAAACAGAGCCACCGAGAGAAGAATCAAAAAGTATTTTTCTTTTCGAGCGCACGGTACATAATTATTAGAAGCGCACCTAACAACACAAGAGCTCAATCAGGTTGACATTAGTTTCGTGCATGACTGCGTGCAAGCAGTGTCAACATTTAGTCTTCAAACAGAAAAATCAAGTCAAAACGGCTGCTGGACGATTTGAAAAACAGAGAGAGAGAGAGAAGAAAGAACGAACAGAAAAATAAAAAACGTGTAAATATTCTAAACTATTGAATAAACTATTGTGGGCCAAGTTTTCTGGCGTTTAATTCTAATGAAAAATTGATTAAAAGTTTTTGAAAAAACAAATTTTGTGGTTAAAAAATTCAAAGCAATAAAATTTAACGGATTTAAATTTAGAATTTCTAACAAAAATATAAGCATTGTGATGTAGATTTGTGATTTGAATTCTAACTAAATGCAATAAATTGAAACCACTCGTTTCACTCTGTCTCTAAAAGTGACGTGCCTTTCTCGTATTTAATTGGACAGCATTTTGTTTTTTTTTACGAAAAATAGAAAAAAAAGGAGAAGAAGAGAGTATCATTGGAAGCACAGAATTCATATTTGATTGGTTTTATTATCTCCCCATTTGCGATTTAGTTTTCATGTACGCCGAAATTCAATTTACAATAGTTTACTGTGATATTCATCATATTGAAACTGGAATATCGAAATAAAACGAGGAGAAATTAAAGAGAAAAAACAAAAACCGAGCGAGTATCGATTGTTTCCTTGCTTATGCACACAATATTGGTAAGTATTTTGTGATTGATCTTCCTTTCTCTGTCTCTCATCGAACACGTGAAACTTTTTTTTCCATTAATTTCCTTATCAATTAAGAAACAAGCAGATATCGATTGGTTCGACAAAAGGTTTTTGTCTATCGAACGTAGTTTCATTTGTGGAACGTTAAAAATTTGTGAAATAAATTGCATTTTCTATTTGCGCCAGACTTTTAATTGATTTAATTGATTCTCGGTAATATGAGCACATACGAGCCATAAAATGCATCACACCGAGGCACAAGAGAAGGGTGAGCGTGCCTGTTGTTTGAATTGCTGCTCCACATGAAGCGTAAATATCAAATTAATATCGGTTATCAACTGCGACTGCTGATTTTCCGTTCCATTTCACTTTTAACAAATTGCAACGATAAATTGAGTTTGGTTTTTGATTTACGCGCGCCCATCAATTTCATTGCTTTACCGCAAACAACACTGTTGCCGTTTTACACCGAATTCAATATTAAAACTCAATTTCGCTTCATTCTTTTCATTCCCCATATTTTAACTAACCGAATAGCGATTATGTTTTGTCTGCGGCGCAGCCATTATTTTTTATTGCAAAACAAATACAGAACCAGCAGAGAAAAAATTACATAGTCCATGTATGCTGAAATGTAAATGTGTCTGAAATAAGCTGGTCGTAATTATCCTTTTGATCAATACACTCAAATATTTGAGTTTGAATAGGTTGAATGGTAGCGAACAGTCTTGAATAAAATGGAAAAAAAACATCAATTCACCTGTTCGGTCGATTCTATTTCTATTGGGGTACACTCTAGTTTAGGTTTTGAATCACGTGCAACTTAAGCCATATTATGATTTGCAACTTGTAATTGTTGCACGCAATAACGCAAACGATGACAAATATGTACTATAGAAAAAGAGAGAGAAAAAGAGAAAATATTCGAAATAGTATTAAATATGCATAAACGGTGTTTTCTCCTACTCCTTACATTCTTTTATTTATGTTATTCTATATGACTTAATACAGATACAATGTTCGATTGTCGAGCTTTGGCTCTACTTATTCATTTCATTTGGGGCCATTCAAATAATCTCTCCCAATCCGAAATCATTTCCAATTGTTTATTATTTCTTTGCGAAAAATCACGAAAATCATTTCTCTGGAATTTTATTCGAAAATTGGTTGGACCAAAAACCAAAACAATTTAGCTTATACACCCTATCAAAATGGAAATGACTAAATATAGAAAAAAAAATAGTTCGAGTTAATTACCTAAATTAAAAAGTACGTAAAAACGAAAATGCAATATCTGTTTATTTTCGAAACTAATTACAATATATTTGGGCTAATTATATGTTGAAATGGTCTGTTTTTGTGTATGTTGTGTAATTGTTTTCTGGTCAATTGATTTGATTTCAAGTGGACGAACTCAAAGCGCCAATGTGTGGCCCAAAATTGTAGTTCAAAATTTTGGGCGCAATGAATCCACCATAACCAGGGAATGTCTTGTAGTATAAACCAACGCCACTCAGTGGCATCGGATTGTGAGATTCAACTAACTGTGAATCTATGAATGGAATTGTTGTTTGGGATAAGTCCTTAAATTTATCGGTGGGACCAAAGGTTATGTAACGATCCTTTAGTATGTTTGGTATCGATTTCTCAGGCGTTAGTGTTGGAACATCAAGATTATCCAATGGGATTTGTGTACGTTCTTTGGCTTCGCTCACATACCAAAAACTACTTTCCAGATTTTTTAATCGTCCCGAAATGAAATCAAAGTCAGTCGCGCGTACTTGTAAGGTGATTACACCATTAACAACACGGAATCGACAGCCCGTTACCACTTTTCCACTAGGTACTTCAACTGTGTCCAAATTAATTGATCGATTTTCCCAGGTCATCGTGTGGTAGTCGATTCCTTCACGTACAAGTGCATCATGGATGTGGAAGTAGTCTACTTTGCTCCACATATGCCATGTAGGGTTGGTTACGTTCAATGCTGCATACGGTTTGAGTTCACGTTCAACAATCATCAAATGAAAAACTCCCTGGAACTTTCGAAAAGCTAAAGCTGATACAACTCTAAAATGAAAAAAAAACAACAACAAACAAACAAACAAACATAAATGATACAAAACAAAAGCCAAGAGAAAAATGTTAATTGTAAACACAAAGGGCCTTTTGCATTGACATCAAAGAGATAATATACACACCGGTTTTTGTAAATATCAGACACGACGTCGCGCTAAAATGGAAATTTAAAAATGGAGATATAATGAAAAGTCCACAAATAAAATGATTTAAGCTGCTTGAAATTTACCAAACTGAAATGCCTCTCCGAATGTTTTTGATCGTCACACAGACAGAAGCAATTGGTACATTTCACCACCCATCTTATCCATGACTGTACCTATTTCAAAGACAATAATGGAATGGAATATGTGTATGTGGAAAAAGTGCCATTCAACATTGATAAAATGAAGAGTGCTTGAAGAAAGGTTGGAATTTTTATGTATATTACTTACCCGCGTCGATTCATCTGCACATTTTTCGAATATTTGCGTTCCATTCCGGCCCAATACATTACCATTATCGTAGTAAAGAACATCATATCTTCTCGAGGCTTGATTTGGCTATTATACCACAATAACGGTCAAATTGCAATCAGTTCAACTATTGTTTACATGATGTGCATAAAGATGTAACGCTGTAAAGACTTACCGTGGAGCAAATGTTTAAATCCGAACCAAGGAATTGACAGTCGACGATATCTCCCTTACAAATGGCTCTATCTCGTTCGGCACCCTCTCGCTTTAGTCCACAGTAAGTACCATCGTAACATTGGTAATTTTTCGTAACTCTGTAATCTTCACAAGTGTTTTGACATGTTCCATCGGGATTGAGGTTTACCTCGTTGTCGAAATACCTGATCATAATGAATTAATAGAGTGGGAAATTAATGAAAATTAGAAGCAAATGATAAATGGAAAAGTAGTCATATTTTAAGACTAAGAAAGTAAAGCAATGACTACATAGATTCGAAATCATTTGATCAAATATTGCTTAAATTCGAGATTGGCGAAATACCCGACTAAGAAGTTTGTCACTTCTTCGTATGTGCCAACAGAGTAATGGTTCGGATCGCATCGCCAAATGTCACGCTTTGAGTACTCGAGCAAATGTCTAACTATATCCTGTGTATGATGCGTGCGATCCAAATATTTGGTCCTCAGTGCCTGCGCTTGACCACGGAAATTGCCTGAAACATAAGTAATTCACATGAAATAAATGAATTGCTGATAACATGAATGTGACTCAAAGAGTAAACACTTGCCTCGATTGTAAACCGTGTAGAACATGTATGCGAGTTGCACAAGTGCATATGCCTTTAGTTCAGCCGTTGAAATGTCGTGATAGTATTCGTAAATCAATTGGTTGGCCGATTTAATTACCATCACATTTTTATCGCATTGCTTTAGTTGAGCTTTCTGTAAAATGAAAATGAGACACATTATTATTTGGGATCAATCGATGTTCGAATTGAAACGACGTCACATAGTACAATTCTTATCAGAAGCAATGAAAAAGAGACAAAACTCAAGGATTAAATGTGTTGTTTCACATTGAGAGGTTTGAGTCGCACATGAATAAAAAAAACTCACACTTCGCATATAATCGTCGTTTGACGAAATGTATTCATAAATGTTGTCCAGTGTTTTTCTCAATATTAACTGATCTTGAACTATTAACATGATGTTGAGCTCATTTTTTGGATCGTCCAATCTTGTTGGATCATTTAAATAGGTTTTTTGTGCCGTTCGTAGTGATTGATTTATAGTCAAAATGCTTTCATAAAGTATTTCATCGTGAGCATCGAATAAATTCAAATCAATGACATTTTCACGGAAATTCCCATTTAAAAAAATGGCATGACTAACGCGAACCAATTCCAGCAAATCGATTTCATCGATTTCCGCATTTAAATGATTGTCTTGAATTATTATAGACCAAAGTAACTGTTCGATATTGATGTATTGTTGTTTAAGCTGATTGATAAATGTGTTTCCTATCGGAGAAGCCGCATCCGATGTATCGTTTACGGTTTTTTCGTCAAATAAAAGCTCCAAATCGTATAAAGTGTCGTATAAATCATTTGCCGCATCAACTGGCTCTTCACCATGACAATATGGTTCGATAAATTCGGTTGATGAATACATGTATTCAATGGAAGCAATAGTTGTTGAATTGACACTATAATCGAAACATGTCGATATCACAACGAAATAAATAAATCCTTGCACATAAAATAACATCATGTTCGATTGAAATGCACTGAAACTTGTACGCTTCAAACAGAACATTCCTTCTCCTAGAAGTAAGAAAACCTCCCCCACTTCGGGGACGCACAAGAATAAAATGAGCTAAACTAAACGGAATATTACTATTCAAATAGAACTTGTGGATAGTACGGACGAGCTAAGAGTGTGTACGTGCACTCGATAATTCGAGTGTGAAGTGCGAAACGAAATTTTGAAGAAACGATTTTTGGTCAAATCTTAAACCAAACAAAAAACAATGTCAATAACACATCCTGTTTGTTCAAAGTAAGAAATGTGATGGCTATTCCTAGACATGAATCTGTGCGAAACATTATCAGCCAAGGACGTGCTTGAAGTTTTGATTCAAAACTTCTGAACTATCGAAAAAAACCGCGCACAAAAAACACTCTATATACTCTGGAATCACAATCACTTACATTTTGAATGGTTTCGTAAAAATCCGTTGACCCCGTGATGACAAAAAGTGCATTGATTTGATGTGTTAAATTGAGCTGGCTTCGAGCCGCATCAATCGATGCTAATTCATCGAATGCTAATGGATTTTGATGCAGACAATTTTTCATAGCCATCGCAACGGTTTGAGTGATATCATCAACGGCCGATAATAATTGAGTTTGTCGATCGGCCGCATAGTCGTTGAACGTTACATTAAATTCACGGAAGCTTTCGTCGAAAAAAATTCGGTGAACTATATGTATTTGCTCTAGAACGTATGCGGTATCGATGCCACTCTCTATTAAATGCCACAAATCGTTTTCGAGCGCCAAATAATGTCGTCGTAACGAATCAATTAGCGCTGGTGCTACGGACGGTAGTGGGGATGATGGTAAAGGTTTTTTCCCATCTTTCACTTTTCCATCACGCGGATCAGTCATTGACACCACGAACGCTGCCACAAATAATAACGTGAAAATTTGCAGTCGCATTTTGTGGCCGAATGTAATACTTTTTTTCCGTCTAGATTCTCACTATAGTTAACAAATTTTAATAGAAGACACAGAAGCACCGACAAATTGGCAACGAAAAAAAAGAGCGCACTGTTCAATCGACCGAAGTGAATTGGCGCAAAAAAGAGCGCACTGTTCAATCGACCGAAGTGAATTGGCGCAGAGACGTTTAGTGAATAACACACTGAGACATTCAGTGACCGTATAACTATGCAGCATCATGCTTTTGATGTCTCATTCACTAAATTCAACATTCCCAGAATTCAGCGGAATCGGCGGCCTGAATGACCGACCGACAACATGTTGTCGCAAAAAGCGAGAAAAAAAAACACACAGAGAAAAATAACAATCAGACAAACAAACAGAATCGACACATCACGATAAACGATGGCATCATTTGAGCTCATTTTGTGACTATCATATTTTTGCTGTATTTCCTCTCTGCTCTTTTCTCGTTTGTATCGTTTTATTTTTAGTTGCTTATTAAAACGTCCGAAATTGATAATGGTGATGTAAGCTATGGCTTCTGCTTAATACGCATCGAAAGAAGCGTGCGCGTGTAAAATGAATGCGATGTATGAATGCGAATGGGAATATGAGTAAGAGGGGAAAAAATTGGAAATAAAAACATCAGAATCCAAGAACTCTGAATCACACTCACATTGCGAATGGTTGAATAAAAATCGGAGGTGCCAGTGATTTCAAACAGTTTATCCAGTTGATCGGTTAAGTTAAGATTTCGTGCACTGATTGCTAACGAATCCGTTTCTCTGAACCTTGCGCGACTCGAATATAAGTAGTTATCAACCGTTGTTGCGACGGATTGATTGATTTTCTTTATGGATTCGAAAAGAGCGTTTTGATCGGGATCAAATGTGGAGAAGTAGCAATTTCGCTCCGAAAAACTGTCACGTAAGAATGTGCGATGCCCACTATGTATTTGCTGTAATGCTACAGATAAATCGATTCCACTGTTAATGGTCTGCCACAGGGAATCTTCGATGGAAAAGTATCGTTGCCGCATTACATCCAACAGTGTGGGTGGACTGTTCCGAACATCTTTTGTGAATATATTCGCCTGCACCGACAACACACTAACAACAATAATTGCCGCCAATATATTCATTAACCGCATTTTCGCCCCGGTTGTATGTAGCTCACTCAATGCGAAAAACCACTCTTGAAAAAGAAAAAAAAAAAACGAATAAAACACGGTTACAATATAACTTGGGTTTGGCTCTACTTCTGACTCCTGACGGCGCACGCACTCAATTAATTAGAATCGATCGAATTGAATCATCAAACTAATTGTGAATTGAGTGCGAGCAAAGATTTTATTTGAATTTTCCACATAGCTGTGATGTGTCACTGGGTCAATTCATGTACGGATTCCGTTCTGTTATCAACAGTTGTGTTTGCTGTGTGTGAGTGTTTTTGTTCATTCTCGCTTTTGCGATTTCGTTGGATGTTTGTTGACAATTTATTGCCAGGAATTTCATTGGAACGACCGTGTTGTTGTCGGTCGCTTTTCGTAAATAAATTCCACACGGAAAAGCACACATATAAACAAATGCGAGTAATAGTATACCGATATGTTGCGAGAGAGAAAGAAAGAGTACAGTCATGAAAACAAGTGTGGCAAACAGCACCCGAACGCCTTTCCGAGCATCGCGTGTGTAAAACTCATCCATAAGTATTTTGTCTTTTCCCTTTTGCATGTATTTTCAAATCGTTAAATGTCACAATATCCGTTTTGAAATAAATATCAGAAGGTCATGATTCGCGAATAAATTTCACTTCAAGTAAACATTACTTGTGTTGATTCTACATAAGATCAATGTAATGATGCCTAGTTATCAATCGCTGACGAATCTCACTATCTTATTTACTTACTGTAGTAATGCGGTTTTTCTTCATACAGATAGAATTCAATCGAAATATGTTTTTTTGTTTATGTGTTTTGCGATTTTTTACCGTCGCATACTTTATTTACGGAAGCTGAGCTATTGCTTCATATATGAAAACAATTCTTGGAAGTGTGATTGTTGACAAAATGATCATCAAGCATTTTGAAGTGGATTGATCAATGATCCAAAGTCGAAAGCGATCAAATATGGTGCAATAAATCCGCCAAAGTGTGGTTGGCCCTTGTAATATAAACCGACGCCGCTGAGCAGAGTGGGATTTCCTTCAACAAAAGTTCCATCAATAAAAGGTACAGTCACTTGCGATGCATCTCTAACACGGTCACTAGGCCCAAATTTGATAAATTGATTTGGTCTCCAGTCCGGTTCCAAAGGTTTGACAGCGCGTATCGGAAGGTCGGGATCGTCTAAGAATAGCTCCGTATGTTGTTTCACTTGGTTATTAATCCAAATACTCTTGTCGAGCTTTTGCAATTGGCCTGTGAATGAAAACAGGGCATTTTCATCGTGCTCTTATTATTTTCTCATATTTCCATTCCATCACTCACCAGTTTTATAATCGTAGTCAGTTGCACGGATCTGAACCGTCAACACACCATTTTCCAGCGCATGGAATCGAACTCCAGTCACAATCTTTCCTGGTGGTGCCAGAACTGCATCCAAATTGATGGATCGTTTTTCATAGGTCAATGTGTGGAAATCGACACCACTCTGAACTCCCTTACTGTCAATGCTGAACTCTGGGTGGCCCACGTATCGATTATTGGCATTCGTTTCACCGGTCTCATGAGCAATGGTTGTGTTCAGCTTGCCGTATGGTAAAAGCGTACTTTCACCTATGACAAACTGAATCATTCGATTACGTTTCGTGATTGCAACGCCTGTCACAATTCTATTCAAGGACCAAAGAAAAGAGAGAAATGTTTTTTTTTAAAGAAACGCACAACCGAAATTAACACAAGTTTTTGTTTTGTTTTCTATTTCATAAACATGTTTTTACCGATTTTCCTGAATGTTCGAAGTGACATCATGCAAGCTGAAAAATCGATCCGATTGTGCGCTTTGCTCATCGCAATAGCAGAAGCAATTCGAACACTTAACGAACCAAGAGTTCCACGATTCCGCCTATGAAACATAATAATCCCATTCTCGTTAGTAAATGTTGGCTTTTCTTTCCCGTGGTGATTATAAAAACACTAAACTCACCTTTGCCGATTGTAAGCAACTGTCGTATTTTCCGAATGTTTTTCCATTTGAATAGCGAACATAGTCGTAGCGACGTGTATCAAGCTTTTGTAACGACTGAAATTGAAACCCCGAAAATAAAGTAATAATAAAAGTTAGTCGTTTTTGTGAGCCGTTTGTGTTGTTTTTTTTTAATTTGACTACCGGGCAAACAGTGAGGTCATCATCAACGAAATCACAATTGTAAACTATTCCTTTGCATCGAGTACTTGCTTCATCGATATGCGACTCAGCGCACAAGGTATTCGCAGCACAGCCATAATTCCTGGTATTTTTATAGTCGGAGCAAGTTTTCGCACAACTTTTGTCCGTATTTAGATTGACCTCGTTATCCACATATCCTTGAATGAATCGTGTAATTTGATGATAGATAGCTGCGAAGATTTATTTGAAAAAAGATCAATTAAATGCCGCACATCTTTGAAAATCGATCAAACAATTTGAAAAAAACAAAAACAAAAACAGAAAATGAATCGGCGTACTTGGGAAATTCTTTTTATCACAAATCCACTTTTTATCGCTCACTGTTTTCAAAAAGTCTTTCACCGTATTTTGTCTTTGTACGTATTTATCATAGAATGATTTACGTACATCATCGGAATTTTGCTGACTGACACTACCTAGATGAGGAAAAAAAAGTCTCATTAACACCTAAACCACACAATCGCAATTGATTTACTATTTACCATATTGGGACACTTTTAGAACCATTTGCGTTAATTGAATATTGATGTAGCTCTTTAATGTCACCGCCGACAATTCTTTGTAAACTTCAAACACCAATTCATTGCTGTTTCTCACGTCACCCAACTGGCATGATTCCCCATTTTCTTTCTATACGAAATTAACACAGAAATTATGTTTAAGCATGCTCGCTTTTAAAATTAAAATTTCAACGAAAAAACTATCTCACATCTATAAGATCATTCCAAAATGACCGTTGTCCAATAATGGCGTTCAAGTCATCAGCTGATTTTTGCATTTGTTGAGCCGCATTTTTTGCCAAATCGACTAATTTAACATATTCCGACTTGATCAAGTAATCTTTGATATTCTTCACATTTGTATCAATCGACAACACAATGTTGATAAGACGTTCATACTTTTGAATTCCCAAACTCCATAACACTCGATTTTCACCAAAGTCATTGTTTAATATGCGTGAATGCTCACGATAGATTTCATTGAGTAATGATCCACGGTCGAGCAAAATGAGTTGCGTATCGATTTTTTTCCACAATGCTTTTTCACTTGCCAAATACTCGCTGGCCAATTTATCAATGAGAATCTGTTGATCACCAAACACACTATTTGCACTTATAGACAACAGAAATATGCCAAGTAAAAGCAAATTCATTTTCAATACCTGGAACTAAAGAGATAGATAGATAGATAGATAGATAGATAGAGAGAGAGAGAGAGAGAGAGAGAGAGAGAGAAATAAAAAAAAAACAAACGTGAACAAATGACAGAAATGAACCAAAATAGCAACACAACGTAACGTATCATCTGAACACTTACTTGTTGGACGGCTTAAACGAGAATGAATATATGGCAAAGTGAGTTTTTGTCAAAGACACATATATAATGAATACATAAAACCAAAACAAACCATTTACATAGTATAAGTCAGGGCGTGATTCGACGAAGAAATTATTCATATAAAATTGCAACCCAAAGTACTTATCAACGAACATCAGCAGCTGTTGAACAATTTGTTTTCTTCTCATATTCCAAAGAAACTTTAATCACCGACTCCAAAGAAATGTTTTGCAAATTCATTTGTGCGATCATCCAATTTATTTTTGTCGTTAAATCGTTAAGTATGCTAGCTTCAGCCAAAAATGCGTTTGACAAAGCAAGTTAGTATTTGTCCACACAACACAAATGTGTGGAACAACAATGAATATTTATAGTGTTAATGCGATGTTTCGAATGACAAATGACCATTCGTCATATGAAAGTTGAAACATCAGCACAAATTTTTCTACACAAATGCGATGTTTTGAATGGTTTCAGGTAAAATAAAAGTTACTGTTTTTTACTTAAACTAAAACTATTATATGCTGGATCTAAATGCATCTATATAGTATGGTGTTAAATTATTTGCACGTCATAAAAAATCTCAAAAATGTTAATTTAATCATCGCGTAGTATGATGAGGGGACCGATGAACCCACCGTAACCCGGTGTGGTCTTATAATAAACACCTGCGCCAATTAGTGGTTTCGGAATTTTCGCTTCGACCGGTTGCGTATCGATGAATGGAACTGTAATGACAAACGGATTGAATTTAGCCGTTGCTTAGAATAAGCTTTGCCATTGAGATTTGCTATCCAAATTTGAATTACCGGTTGTTTGTGCAATGTCCTGATGTACACCAGTTGGTGTGAATTCGATATATTTGTCCTGAGAGCGGTAACGTTTTGATTTTTCTGGTGAAAGGGTCGGAACATCAAGGTCTTCATTTGGTATTTGTTCTTTGTCATGGTTATTATTCGAACGCCATGCCGTTTTCATATTATCCCGTGATAAATATCCCGTTTCCTTGTTATATGCAGTTACGCCTGAGCCAAATTAGTTTGATTGAGAGGAAATCAATCGAAATTGTTGTTGTCAATAAATTATTATTATTTTGAACAAATTTTTCATCATTTGATTTCGAAATTAAAATCCAAAATACACTCACGGACTTCAAAACGTATCCTATTGTTAACAAGACGAAATCGAGCACCGGTTACCACTTCATCTGGTTTAGCTCGAATTGTATCCAGTTCAATGGCACGACTATTCCAAGAGAGTCGATGATAGTCTATGTCAGCTTCAACGTTGGCATCTTCAATTACCCAATCATAATCTCCTGTCCATGTTATTTCATTGGAATTGATTTCTTCGATTTTGCCATGGGGCAAAATTCGTCGCTCCGATATGAAAATGTGAATGATGCGATTCTTTTTGAAAAATCGAATTCCCGTCACAACTCTAGGGTGGAACGGAATTTTGTTCATTTTATCGAGATGGAAAAATCGAGAATTTTTTTTTTCATGTTTGCATTATGATTAATCATACTTGTTCTCAGCAATCTTGCTAGTTGCTTCGCGTAAACTGAAAAATCGATCTGAAAATTGGTTCTCATGGTCACAGTAGCAAAAACAATAGCTGCACGAGACAAACCTGGAAATTTCAATACCGTTTATAATGAATCAATAACAGTGAACAATATCAAAAAGAAGCAAAATAGCTACCATCGAATCCATGATTTTAACTTCACTTCATATCGACAAAATTGCGGTTGACCAATCACCATGCCACTGTTATAACGAATGTAATTGTATCGACGGGTCATCAGTTGATCATTCTCCTGGATGAAAACATAATAAAAAATAAACAGAACATGTAAACAAGTTTAACGGTATAACCTACATTTGGGCACAGTGTCATGTCCGACTCGATGAATCTACACGATCGAATTTGACCATCACAACGCGTTTTGTTTTTGTCCAAATAATTAAGAATGCATAAAGTGTGATTGCGACACACGTGGTATTCAACTTGTTGATAATCCGAGCATTGCTTTCTGCATGTGCCATCCTGGTTGAAGTTGACCTCATTATCGATATATCCCTGCACAAAATTTGTGATTTCCGTGTATGAATCTATGATGAAATATTGGAACTAATAACCTTGTTCGTGTTTTTTTTTTCATTTTCACTCACAGTCTTTTGAAAAGTCATCACAATTCCAAATTTCACCAGTAAAGTTCTGGACAATTGATCTTACGTTCGATTCGAGAGTTTTGTATTGGGACATAAAGGATGTTCGAAATTCAATCGATTTGCCTTGGTGCTTTTTCGCTGTAAAACAAAAAAACCATCATATGAATTGAATGAAAACACAATTATTTCACGAATGAAAACTTACGTTGCGATTTGGCTCCTGAAATCATGTGCGCCATTTGAGTGGTCATATATCCTTTGGTCAGAGTTTCAGCCACAGTTAGATAGAAATCCGTGACCACATTCTGCAGATTAAGATCTTCAACACCAGGTGTAACGAAGCGTTTATTTGTCTGGCAGAAATCTGAATTTTCTCGAATGTATGCCAGAAATTCGGGCCTTTTGGAGAATTCAAACACTTCACTTAGCTCATTCGGTATTGTGCTCAAGATATTATCGCAATTTTGTTGTGCCTCTTCATATCTCTTTTCGCTCAGCCATTTGGTTGTACCACGTTGATGTTGCTTCATTTTGTCAATTTGTTCGGCAAACTCTTGGTTTATCGTGCGTACAGCTTCAACACTTCCCATGTCCGGTTGATTCAAGTTGCCATCGAAATACGTATAGAGTCTTTCAAGTGTTGCATTTGCAGTTTGTCGATTGGTCGATGAGTTGATATCACTCCAAAAGCGTTCCTCTTCATTTATAAAATTCTTGATAGTATTGTCGACGATCGTAAGCTGTGAATATCGTGATGATCCACAACTGTGAAACACCATCACCAGAAGCCATGCTATTATTATGTTATTTTGCGGCAAGCGCATTTTTTTTATCGATTGTCAAAATTGACTTGGCCGCAAATGCACCGGACTAACGCGTTGAAATGAACAGCGAACAAAAAAAAAAACAAAAAAACAAAACGGAATCCTTCAATATCTATTCTACTTTCAGTTTCTCTAGTGATTGCAATGAAAGTGAAATCGTTGCGCTTAAATAAATAAAAGAATGACCTAATGCGACTCAAAATTATGCTATTCAAAATACATGCTGTCAATCTCAATTGCAAAACAGAATAGAAAACCGAGAAAGAGAGACGGCTAATTCAAAACGGAAAAAAATATCCGGGAATCTATCGAGATACTGCGTGCTGTTCGCGGGTAAACCGAAAAATACAAAACTTTTGGATCAAATTGGTTGGTGCAGAAGTATTCTTTTTCGGTTTTGTTGAATCTTTTCAAACTCTATTCAAAGCACTTATTTTAGTATATTTCACTGAGTCAAAATCCTAAATTGGTTTATAAATGTCAATTGAATTGTAGTTTCGTATAAAAATTTTTTGTTCAAGTTGTCTCGATTAGATCATACATCTGATTCGTTCCCGACATTGTGTCATTTCCTCGAAACGCACATACTTTCAAATGCTATTATCGCTAGCCATAGTATTTTTTTTCTTCTTCTTCTCCCCATTTCCGACCGTACATTGGCAGTATTTATGTCGGGAAGACGTTGAAATAAAAATTAAATAAATTTGTGATAAGAATATGTTTAAGCATCAGTTTGTGTGTTTGTGTAAATATTATGTGTAAAAGACCATATGCTATGCCCTCGTTATCAGACTCGTGTACATTAGACAATTGCGTCAAGACGCAGTGAGATTAAACGGTGCGATCGGAGGGAAAAAATGAATTTTTTTTTTTGCAAATCGAATGACACATTCACATGACTATACAATCTGAGTGAGCAATGAGATCATTTCCTAAAATTGTTCATTATTTCGAATACAAATAATGAAACCATTCCCAGTGTCCTTGCAGAGACGACCTAGCGAGTGATACAAAAGACATATCGTGTGTGATGCCCCATTTAATCGTTGGAAACAATCAGTAACACGTCCATGTCAAATGAATCATGTTCTACGTGCATGGAATTACATCATATATATATATATATATATACAGAGTATGGGAACGATTCTGTGTGTTTGAGAGAAGAAAACGAAGTTTAAAAAAAGCAGTTTTCATTGATACACACACAAAGCATTCCATGTAAAATCTCTGACCAGTATCGGGGGCTATTAACTAAATTTCTCTCAGTGTGTTTGCTCTTTCATCGTATTAATACCAATACTCTCCATATAGCATTCATATTAGTGGAATAACAACAACACATCGATACCGGATCACTCTCATTTGAATCGCTAATTATGCAAATAAATATCAAAGCCATCGCATGTTTGTATATGCGGCTCATCGATGTAATCAATATGCTTGTACAATGTATTAGGCTAAAATAGATAAACTGTGTGTGAACGATTTGCATACGTGTGTTTGTGCGTGTTTGCATGCTTGTGTGCTTGTGCCTGTTTGTGTGTGTGAGTCTGATGAAAGCATTGCTGCAAACAGTACGTGAACACAGTTAATTCTTTTTAAATGGTTGTCGCCCAATACATTGCAAATTTTGATAGCCACATCGTATTCGGCTCGGTTGTTTTATCTCGCTCTTTCAACAGCCATTGAATTGGCAAAGTGTTTTGCTTTCAATTTTTCCTCTTTAAAATGCAGTTATGATCGTAGTGTGTTGCATTCGAATGTTCAAAACTACAACGTTGTCTCAGTGTTGATCGGTGTGCATTTTTAGTTACTGTCCATCAAAACATCGAACAGGTGGGAATTATTTACTACGGCACGTTTATAAAATTCTACATGGTTAAATATCGTCTTAGTTTTTGTGAAATTTTCTCTTTTTTTGTAAATCTCACATTTCCGTGGCTGTGTAAAACAAATAACTAAGACAAAATGGAAATAATCCGACGGCGACTATTGATAATCGCTGTCATTGGGCAACTTATAATCGTAGCCGCTGAAAGTGATGTGAAAAGGCCGAAAACGATTGCCGAATTGCAAGCAGAATATTTAATAAGTGAAGAAAAGCTGTGGCATAAAATCGACCAATTGTTAAGCGATGCGGAACACATTGATGAACAAAGGCTAAATGAAACCATGTTAGAAGCAGTTAACGTGCACCAAAATGTTTTCTTTGAAAATACATTCGAAAGCAGCAGCTACTGGCGATCATATCTACTGTTTGGCATTGACAATTTTCGTGGTTATTTATCAAATGTTAACACATCTCTGCTAGAACACTATCGGTATTTATACGATGAAGATGGGCAAGTGCGTTTCAAACGATGGAATGTTTGTATTGACCCAGGATCATTCCATAACCTAACAGCCAACAGAAATGGTTTATTCGATCTGACGATCAATCGGAAAGATTCCATTTTACAACACATTCAAACTGTAAGCTAATTTGTATGGGTCATATGAATCATGTGGCTCAAACAAATAAATTTGCGTACCATTCGTGAACATAAACATAAACTAACCGCCTTTCAAACTGTATGTATGTTATTTGTTGACAATAGGAAGCGAAATGCTGTATTCGATACGTAAACTATGTTATATCGGAAGCTCAATTAGTACGCGAATACTATGCAAATGTTGGCAAAGCAGTCCTACGGAGCTATGCCATGCATCAGCTGGCTCATATGCTGATGTCATTGATAGTGCGAGAAAATTCGCATGCCACAGCGAACGCTGAACGGAAGCTATACCTAGAACGATATAACGAGTTCAAGCATACCATTGAAGGTATGCTGACTGCATCCAGTCTCGATTTATGGAAATGCAATCCGAACCCATATCTGGACAGCCGTAAGCATCTTTCGTTTCCATTGATCGTTTTAATTAAATTGCCAAAATGAATCACCTGCTGCACCGAAAATTCCGCAAAAATGGGACTCAATGTCAACGCCAAAGCCAACGCAAACAATATTGCAAAAGTTTTCAATGTCTATCTCTCTCTCTATCTCTCTCTCTCTCTCTCTCTCTCTCTCTCTCTTTTCCTCATTTCATTCTATTTGTTTAAATGACAGGCACATACTACACATCAGTCACGAATTTTATGCAAGGCTACATTGATAATGAGATTAATTTGAATGGCGAGCAGCGTTGTGATGGAACATGCAGCGATTTCAAGTTGACCAAAAACCATTACGATTGCCAAAATGGCACGTTGTGTGCACACAGTAATTTCGCTCATGCTCGCTGTACGGGTGACATATTCGATTGCAGTGTGATTGACTCGGATGGAACTGCTTGTCTTGTGGTTTGTTTCAAATGAATTTCATTTTGAAAATGTGATCGTTTTTGCTGTGAGAATGAGCCTAAGAATGTCACACTCACCACACTACTTTTTTCTGTCTTGTTTCTACTTTTATGTTTGCATTTTTTTCGCTCTCTCTTCGTTCAAATCATTTAATGCGGTGCTTTTGTTCCAAATACACTCAGAAGGATGAGTGGGAAAATCGACGCTACAATTATGTGACATTTAGAAATGGCTCAACCAATGGTCACAATGTGTTGTGTTTTAAAGCCGAACAAACGGAGCTTGCGACGAGATCGGAACGGATATCAAATGAATGCAGTAATTGCTTCTGCTACTGTGATGAACCGGGACAAAAATCAGATCGTTATTTCAGTTTGAAAGATGTGACATCCGATATCGGTGCCAACAAGTAATTATTCTTATTTTACTTCATTTCCATTTCGTTGGATTGATATATATATATATATATGTATGTTATTTATTTATTCTGGTTTCTTTTCATCCATGTGACGACGTCGTGTTTTTTGCTGGTGGTTTTTGCAGAATTGTAACGGGTATCGCGATAAAAAAAATCAATCGTGTCATCCAACTCACTATATCAGAGCGTGAATTGTTTGCATTTGGCAAAGTCAATGACACATTGAAACGTACGCAAATCTGGAAGAATAATAGCATGGAATTTTTGAGTGATGGCCAAAATGATGTCGACTATTTTACACTGACACGAGAGCATCGATCAATAAATTTGGACACGATTTTTTTGCCATTGAACAAAGTAGTAACCGGAATAAGATTTAAAGCTCAGGATAACATGTTAATAATCGAAATTCGCGCCACAGACTTCGATTACGAAACGGGAATGCTCACAAATTTGGAACATAGCACATGGATCAAGCATACGGATAATCGAATCAATGAGCACAGAGAAGAAATAACTATTTTCGAACCGGATTCGCCTACACGAACGACCAACATTCAAGAGAGATTCGATTCCAATAATAAATTCATTAGGTTCCGGTCAACCGATATAAAAAAAGACTTATCACAGCTAACTATTCCGTTTTTTGAATCTGTGCCACTAGAAGCGAGTGAACCACGTCCATTGTCCGGCGTTGGACTCTATTACAAAGGTGAAAATGGATTCGGTGGCTATATAGCTGTAAAACTTATTAGCTACGACCGTGGAACAATTTGACATCACAGAACCTATAAGGAAAACGCAAACGTTTGCTTGGAAAGTACGGAATATTGCGATATGAATATTTTTATTAGACCATCTAGGTCATTCGCTTTGCTCAAATATATTATTAGACTCAACGAAAAAAGTGGAAAAAATAAAAAAAAAATACATGAAATTTAAACCAGATAAATTCATGTTTTTATTCGTTAAACTGTTCAAAAGTTATTAATTGGCGTTATGTCTAAAGATGCATCAAACACAATGAGCTTCGCAGCGATAAAACCACCATATCCGAATTGTGTTTTATAGTATAATCCCACGCCAGCCAGCGGTTTTTGCGATTCGACAAGATGCGAATCGAGGAAGGGGACAGTGCTTTGTGAAGCATCATTCATGTCGGTGGATTGAAAGTTGATATAATGATTTTTTCCATGAATCGGTATCGATTTTTGCTTTGACCGAGTTGAACGATCCGGATACTGTAGTTCGAGTAGCTTTTTTTCCGTTGAATTCTTGTTATAAAGCCATTCGCTGCGCTGAATATCGATTAGTTTACCAGTTTGATAGTTGAAATTGGTGACTCGCACTTCGAGACGTATATGAGAATTGACAACGCGAAAACGCACGCCCGTAACAACTCGAGCATCATCAATAACTGTGTCCAAATCAATGGATCGATTAAACCATGACAGTGTATGATAATCAACGCCCTCTTCAACATCATAGTCATCAATTGAAAATTCCTTGGATGTCCGCCAAAAACTTTGATCCGCCATATTTGTCACATCTATTTGACTGAATGTTCCATTTGGCAACAATTCTCGTTCCGAAATTTTCAACTGGATAATTCGATTGACTTTTGTGAAGCCAACACCAGAGATAACTCTAAATCAAAAATGAATGGCATTTTCAGTTTTGTTTTTTTGTATTTGGGCAAATGCATTTTGTCACTTACTTGTTCTCATTTGTATTTGAAACGACAGACCGAAGACTGAAGTATCTGTCGGACTGTATGCCCGGTTCGTCACAATAGCAAAAACAATTGCTGCAATGAACAAACCAACTCCACCACGAATTCGCCCGAACGACATGTAAACGATTGCAATTGCTTTCGCCACCCAACGCACTTCCATCATCGTACTCGAGAAAGTTGTAGCGTCTAGCAGAGCTTTCCTCCTATTTTCAATCAAAGTAGAGAAAAAAAAATGTGTTTGAAAACCATTGTACATTTGGTACGAAAGTTTGAAATAATTACCGCTGGGCATATGTTGAAGCTACTATCCAAATGTCGACAGTTCAGTATGGTTCCATTGCAAATGAGTTTCGATTTCAACAATGGATCGGTTAAATGGTCGCAAAAACTGTCTTCAGCACAATGGTAATGCTTTGTTTCGGTGTATTCCTCACAGGTTTGTTGGCATTTGGCTTCAGGATTTAAATTGATTTCATTTTCCACAATTCCTTGATAGAATCTCGTTATTTCGATGTACGAATCTATTGAAAAACAAAATAGATTTGCAAACACACACACACATAAACATTGAATATTTGAAGCGATATATGCCTGGATCATTGAAATCATCTGGGTCGCATGCCCATACCGCTCGGCTTGCGTTTTTTAGCTCAAATATCACGTAGTTCTGAATGGTGGTCACATTGTATGTGAAACTTTCACGTAGTTGGTCAGCCGGGTCATTAAAGTTGCCTGAACAAAGCGCAAAGAATTTTGGGAAAATATTCCGAAGAGTTCAAGATGAATGAGAATTCCTGCTACAAAGTTATTATCCTTACTTACCGAGATCATTAACTGTTTGGACCATATAAGTCATCTGAAGCAGCATATAACATTTCAGTAGTGCGGCAAGGATTTCAACGTAAAATTCGGCTAGTGCTTGGTTCTCCGACAGCACATTCACAACATCCTTGTGGCAAACTTGTGAATTCTGGAAAATATCGAAAAATCAAATCAATGAATGCCTCTGAAAAAAACAACAACAACAACAACAACAACGAACAGCATGGGGAATACAATTTCGCAAGGCAATTACATTTTTTATGAACATCCAAAAGGCCATATCGGTATATTTGCAAAGCGTTGCAACCATTTTCGGCATATTTTGTGCAATATCTTTCATCATATTCGGCAGATACTCGTATTGGTTATGGCTCAATATTCGTTGTGTATTTAGTGCAGTGATATTGATATGTTGGATGCTGTCTACAATACGCCATATATGCCGTTCCATGATTCGATTTCCATCCGAAATTGTTCGTTCTTGTTTCGATAGTGCATCGAATATGCCGGCTTCACCAAAATTATTACCCAAAAACCTTTCGTGCACCTCATAAATATGGACCAATGAATCGTCGTTGCTGTGCACATTTGTTGAACGCACCAAATGCCATAAATTTTTCTCGACATTCAAATAATCCTGCACTAAACCATCGATGCCACTGCCAACAGACTGCGAACACAATAAAATTTTCACAAATGCAATCAAAACTATGCAATTTATTGAGTTAGACATTTTGCTTTGCCTCACATTTGGAACTGAATAGCAGGCACATAAGTCAGATTACACACTATTTACTACAATTATTAACAGAAACTATTTCCAACAGAAGTATGTACATCGCACATGAATGAAAAAAAAAAATTATTGCGTTAGAATTATGTTTGGAGACAGCACACCGAAAGAAAAAACTGAATAGATAGAAACTTATCGCTTGTTGCATTCATTCCCATTGTACAAATAGATTCAATATACGCCTGCCAGCATGTATGTACAATCTATCATTTTTCATTCTTAAACTAAGCCGATCCATTTAGAATAAATGGAAACGAATGGCAGCATGAAGTCGCATTAATGTTGATACAATGATGAAATGGAAAAAGTTGTAATTTTTTCTCATTCTGTCTTCGTTTATTTTTGGGTATATGTACTTCGACAAATTATCTTGTTTATTTATTATGTTCAGGAACAATGCTGATAGTGAACACTTATATACCATACCAGAATACTCATGATTTTTTTTGTCGTATTTCTTGGTTTTGCTCTCTGTTCGACTTATAGACACTGAGCGTTGTGAAGCGAAAAACACCAAAATGATTTCAATAGAAACTGAAAAACACATTCTTATCGCAATAGTTTCACAGAAAAATGGAAAGTTTTGTCGGTGTACGGTAATAATTTTCATACGAGAGAAAAATGGAGAAGACGTTGCAATTTCAAGTGACATTACCAAAATAAATTCCTATTGCTTATTTGCATATCAAAGGAAGCACACTCAGACTCAGAATAAGTTCCATCGTGATGACTCTGCGCTCTCCTGTACATACAATACAATACCAAATTTGCATTCAATGACATATAGGAATTGCCATATAAACACTTGTTATCGTTTTTTTTCTTCTGCGATTTTCGGGTGCTGCAACAAAACAACCAAACGTATCGTGCATTTTATGTTTGTTGAGCGGAAATACTACTTCAAAAATACTGAAATTCAAAATAATATTTTTGTTTGTGTGGTTGTTTTGACACAGACAATGACAAACATCGCCATGAATATTCAAAGATACAGACAAATTTGCTCTCAAGCAAGCTGTTAATCGTATGCAATTTACTGTTTTTTGATCCGTGTAAAATGTTGCAGGGAGAATGAATTAAAAGTATATCGATACAATACAAACGGTAAAGTGTTTTCTTTTTCGCGAAAAAAATCCCATTCATTTATTTTAACTTAAATGATACAACAACACTTGAGTTGCAGTCTACAATGGTTGGTTTATCTCGTGCCAGAATAAATGAGTTTGCCTTTGAAATCATGCCCATCGGCGCTATCTTTGTTTCATCGTATGATTTATGGCAATAATGGTAGTTAAATTAAAATGAGAAAATGAATCAATCACTCTCGTTTGTTTTATTCTGCTTTGAAGTTGAATGTAGCGCGATTTTACGGTTGTTTAAGCTAAATGATGGATTCGAAATTGTAAACGACAAGTTTTGGTGCGATTACACCGCCGTTTCCGGGCCTTCCTTTATAATAAAGTCCCACACCACTGAGTGGCATGGGTACGATTGGCTCGACTTTCTGAGTTTCCAAATAGGGTACGATTGTTTGCGATGCATCAGAATCTTGGTCGGTGGGTGTAAATTTCACATATGAATCTGGTATGTTATTGATTATTGGATAACCGTGCAAGCCGACTGGTTTTGGCTTGTTCAAATAGATTTCCAATCGACCGCCATTGTCATTGCCGTGCCAAGTGCTGTTTGCCAAATTCATTAAGGTACCGGTTTCATAATCGAATTCGGTTGCTCTCACTTCCAAACGCAAATGCCCTTTGAACAATGCAAAACGAACCCCAGTGATCACATGGCCTTGCGGAACGATAATTGTATCGAAGTTGATCGATCGATTTTCGTAGGTAAGTGTATGGTAATCAATGCCTTTCTGAATATCCGGATCGTTCAAGCTGAGCTTTGGGTGTGATCGTGACCACTGGGGAAAATTATGATGAAAATAGTTATTAGTCGGTTTTAAGCGGCCAAAACCCAGTAATTTTCGCTCTGAAATGACCAATTCTATTATGCGATTTGGTTTTGCGATATGAATGCCGGTAACGATTCTGAAGAAAAGAAGAAATAGGGAAAAAAAAACACCACATTGAAATTTGGTTTGTCACCCGAAAATGATAATTTGTTGCATGACATCTTACTGGTTCGCTTCAATGTCGGAGACCACATTACGCAAACTGAAATATCTGTCGGATGCACTGTCTGATTCGTCGCATATGCAGAAGCAATTGTGACATCTATAAAACCAATCTGTCCAAGATTTGGTTTCGATGCCCTGGGCACATCCACCTTTGTCGCCCAATTGCCGACCATTTTCATATTTCAAATATTTATAGCGTCTCATGTCAACGGTCTGAAAACGATATGCAGTTTATCATAATATTGAATTTCATTCCAAAAGAAACGAATACATCATCGCCATCTATCACTTACCGACGGGCATATTTCCAAATCCGATCCGATGAATTCACAGTTCCTCAAAATGCCTTTGCATTTGTTGATGCGTTGATTCTTGATCGGAAGACCGCAAGGGGTGTCGTTGTGGCAACCATACTGTCGAGTTAGCCGATAGTCTGCACAAGTATTTTTGCATGTATGTTCCCTATTGAGGTTGATTTCATTGTCAACAAATCCTTGCAGAAACCCAGTTATCATCTCATATTCCGTTGACTCTAGAATTGGAAATGACATGACATCCAGGATTAATTCCAAAAAAAGGAGAGTGAGAGGGAGTTGATTGAACTGCAATCATATTTTGCCGCACCAAACACATAATTATCCGGACTGCATGAGTACACGTCACGGCTTGCATGCGAAATAACCTCTTTGATGCTTGAGCGTAAATTGTTGTTATGCTCCATGACTGTAAGATGCAGGTTCCTCGATTCATTTCGGTATTTGTCTACGGATTGAAATTAAACAATTTGATTTTTCCACTTCAATGAATCTAATTAAATATATGGTTGAAAATCGCTTTATGCCGCACTTACCAGTGTCTCGAAGGCCAAGTATCATGAAACTCAACTGCACAACCCTAAATATGAAAAAAAAACATTGAATAGTTCAAAAAGAAACGTATTAAAGTCACTTCTCTTACATGTATCCGCGCAAAATGCTCGTCTCAACATCTTTGTACACTTCAACCAACATTTGATGTTCCGACTGGTAGTTTGTTGTGTAATGTTGCTTACAAATCCGGGCATCCTATCAGAATGGGTATCAAACGAATTAGTTTATTGAATGCAGTCGGGAAAAAAGGCCACCTAAGAATTATGTACTTCATTTAAATCACGCCACAAATCGGATGAAACTGAAGCCCGGCTGATTTTTTCAATGGCATCGGTGATATTCTTTACACGATGGCTGCTCGCAAACCGGATCAATCCACCATAATCGCGTGATTTAATTATGTTGTACACATTGGTCGTTGTGTCGTTGAGAAATCTCAAGCCATTTGTCAGCTCCAAATCGACGCCAATTCGATTCCGTTCAATGATGTTTTGAAATAAATTTTCATTTAATCGAATCTTGTGCTCATTGTAAATCAGCTCCAATGTGTTTTCCGTTCGACGTTCAATGGCCGTCCACAGAGTGTCTTCCACTTGAAAGTATTCGGCAATCGATCGATTAATTTGTAATTCTTCGTAGAGTGGCCGAATGTGTGAGCTGCCACCACAAATACTGTATAAAATCACAAACAATTTCAATAAATTCAAACGATGTCGTGACATTTTTTTTGCTCTATTTTTGTTGTGCTGTTGTTTTGTAGTTGTGTGTTTTTTGAAACGTTTTCAATGATACTGAATTTTCGTCTGACTGTGACGCGATTGCAACATACGCTAAACCAAAATAAACAAAATGATTTACAATCGAAAATGAAAAAAAAAATGGACTAGAAATCAAAAACCTCAGAATATTACAAGCGAGAGGCAGAAAAAAGGCCAGCAAAAGAACATTTAACCGATGCGATAACAACAAGTGAAATAAATGCATGAATCGTTCATGTGGCGGCTAATGGACAGTCAATTCGATTACAACATCGTTATCAATCAAACGCAAAGCACAAATACATTTTCGTTTTCTTTCTTTTCCGTTTATTTTGTATAGTTGCTTTTACGCTGCGCTCCATTTCGGCTATAATTCCATCATAGCGGCTATGCCGGCCAAACACATGAACAAATGAACGAATGAATGTCATCCATTGAATGGACGAACGAACGAACAAACCAATGACTAAATGCGATAGAGCATACAGTCACTCGAACATTCCTTGTACGGTAGATTCCAGCAGGGAACCAACATGTTCCCATGTTCATAGACTTTTTTTTCATCTTTTCATACAAGGCGAGCGGAATGAATGAAAGGGAAAAGCGAAATCAGAAAATAAAACATTGTTGAATTGAAGATAATTCCTCTTTCCGTAATTGATTATTCCTTTATTTAAAAAAAAAAAAAACTATTTACACTTGATATTTCCAGCGTCTTTATCAGAATTGTATAGTAAAAAGGCAAGTGATTCTTATAATTGAATGTCATTTCAGATGCAATGCATTTTGTCTTTTGTTGTTGCTGTATAAAACTGGCTGTGTATTCGAATACAATAAATAGAAAAATGTCAGAATGCTGATTTCGGTTTGTGTTAGCTTCCTCTCCCTCGGCCACACACTATCATTCGGTTGATGCTTCAAAGTTGTACAGAATAATTTTGGGTGCAATAAAGCCATGACTTTTGTAGTACAAGCCAACTCCCGATAATGGCATTTTCGCTTCGACTTTCTGGCCATCGATAAATGGAACAGTTGCCTGACTTAAATCGACTTTCTTGTGCGTTGGCCCAAAACGAATGTAATCATTCTCTTTGGATTTCACCATCGATGGCCCATTTGCTTTCGTTGGAATATCCAAATTGTCGGTATTTATTCGGTGTTTACCGCCATCTGGATTTGATATCCAAGCACTGCTCTCTAAATTAATCAATTTGCCAGTGAATGCATCAAATTCAGTAAATCTGACTTCCAGAATCAAATGACCTTTGCCATTCCTATTAAAACGCACGCCAGTTACAACGCTGCCGGCTGATGCTGTGATTGTATCCAAATTCAACGAACGATTCTCATAAGTCAGGGTGAAATAGTCAATACCTTCCTGCGATTCATTACTCTTCGGTACAAATTGTTCGGCCAAACTCCAGGCGTATTCAATGTGCGAACGGTCAACATTTCCGAAAGCGAACAATTGGCGCTGTGCGATTACAAATTGCACCACACCGTTTCGTTTGGTCAGCGCAACGCCCGTGACAATTTGATTTTTCTCAATATTCGAAACAACTTCCCTCAAGCTAAAGTACCGGTCAGAATTCATAATGTCATCACACAAACAGAAGCAATTGCTGCATTTCACGAACCATCGCACCCAAGCGTTTGCCTATTTATTCGAAATTGCATGCAAAATTAATGTTTAAACGCAAATTGAGATGGGAATGTTAATATTCGTGTTTCGTATTCACCTCCAATTCATTGGTGCAGGTAGTAGTGGCATTGCCGAGCTTCAATCCAGTGTTCGATTTAACGTATTTGTAACGTCCGCCAACATTGCCTTCCTATTGAACCAAACCAAACCAAACGAACAAGTAAGTGACAGCGAAAGTGCATTAAAAATCTATATTGGTATTTTTGTGAGTGTATGTGTTGAAGTGATTTCACAAAGTCTCTCTTACCGCCGGGCAAACCGAAATACTGTCATCCAAGCCATGACAACCTCTGACTCTGCCTTTGCATCCAATCATCGAGCGATTTTCTGGTCGAAGTCCAGCACAAAGTGTGTCCGAATTGCATGTGAAATGCTTTGTATTTTGATAATCGGCACATGTTAATGCACAACTCCCTTCGGCATTCAAATTAACCTCTGCGTCGATGTACCCTTGAAGGAAATTCGTGATTTGGTAGCTCACTCCCGGCGCTAAACGTGTACAATTGAAAAAAAGACAAACAAACGAAATTAGCACTGACCAATTTGAAATGTGTGTGCATGCATGTGCAATGTATAAAGTATATCATTTTAACGTACCGCTATAATCGAGTGGATCACAAGTCCAAACAACTCTGTTCGCCTGCTGCAATTTACCTTTGAATACATTTCGAATTTCGGCGTTCGTTTGACGAAAATGTTGTTCATAAATGAGAGATTGATTTCGAAAATCGCCGCTCTCGTGCAAATGCAAAATCATGTACGACAGCTGTGCTGTGATGTATGTGCGCAATGCAGCGGCTTGAATGTCTTTGTAGTATTCAAAGAGCACTTGATACTCTGATTGAACTGACCTCGACTGCAATTGACAATCCTGTGTTGACTGAAAGCGTGTGTTAATTTATGAGAAAACATTTTGTTGATGATAAATTCAAATAAATTCAATTCCTTGTTTTTCTTCTTCTATCTCTATCTCACTTTTTCGTGTTTGCATTTATGTGTGTGTATGTGTGTGTGTGTCAATGTACCTACTTGCTTGCTTTTCAATACAATATAAACGGAAATGCAAATGCAAATCTAAAATAAAAGTGTGCATTTCGACCGCAAGCTGAGCTCATTAAAATGGAACTTACGTTTTTCAGATTATTCCAGAAATCCGTTGAATTAATTGTCTGCTCGCACACTGATTGGAATGTTTTGTCCAAATTGATGCCGTCAAATGCCTTCATACTCAATACGGTGTAGTTACGATGTTCGAAAAATTCGCGTGCAATATCATGTGATGTTTCATTGATGGTAATTATATTATTCAATAGCTTGAGGTTATTGTTGTTCATATGAACATCATTTAGCAGAACATTTGATTCGCCATAATGTCGCTTCAGAAAGTCAGTGTGAATGTTGTAGATTTGTTGCAATGTGCTGTCCTCACGTCTTTCAATCACCTCCCATAGATTTTTCTCTGCTTCCAAGTAATCCTTGGTTAATTGATCGACTAAAGTGACATGCAACACTTTATCGCTTGTACTTTCAATGGTATCGATGGGCAAAACCACAAAAATACACAATATAAAATGACACAATCGCCTCATGATGGAATTATTGATATTGATTTTTTTTTTTCCGACTTTTTATTCGGAATTTTGCGTAAACTTCCAAACGCCACCAAATTGTCAGTGTTCAAACACAATGCGATGATTTCCAGCAAGGCGTTTGGAACAAAATAAAATTGAAAGAATTTCGTTTCGGGGGAAAGAAGGAAAAATTACTGTGCGTACGAAGCGAATACTCAACATAAACTATTTTTCTGGCGAATTAATTGGATGTGTTGAAGTGCGGAACGAATTCTTCAAAACGAAAAATTGTGTTATGAGTGTTGTCTATTCCTATTTTCTCTTTTTCACATCATTTTCTAATGATGATTTTCGTCTTTCTATTTCATCTTTTATTTGTTTTTGGAGCGATAATGTTTAATGTGCCCTGATTAAATTTTCCCGCAAGCGTTTCAGCTCTCACTTACACGAGAGAAAGAGTGAGCGAACATGTGAAAGAGAGAGAGAGAGAGAGAGAGAGAGCACTTACATCAGTTTGTTAAAGATGCTTGCGGTGTTAAGTAGTCACAGTGAGCGATGTATTGTACAAGACAGTAACACTATCGTCAAAAATGTGAGTAGATTCATTCGGTACAAGAGGCCAGATTATTGACATTAACTAGACCATTTCATGCGGTTTTTCTTCTTCAAACAATTGAATAGACAACGAGAGAAAGAGAGGAAGAGAAAGATATTCAGCAACAGCAGCATAAAGTGCCTGATCGGAGACAATGTTTGTGTTTTTTTTAAATTTCAAATGCGTTGCATTTAAAGGAATGCTTTTTATCAGCTAAGCGCAACGTAATCTAATGTACTGTCTGCTAATGTTTTAGTTGAACTGCCCATGCATCAGAACAGATTTTTATCAACCATAAAGGTCTTTCGAAGCATTTTAATTATGTGTGAATGAATGCGTGGTCGCATTTGTCCCATTGCAAAAAATTGATAAGACAATTTTCATCCATCCGGATTCAAGCGAAATCAGCACAAACAAAAACACAACAAATATGAACACTTTGTCGGCTTCATACCGTTGCTGCTATTGTTGTTTTTTTTTTTTTGTTTTGTGCTTTCGTCGCTTAACTCTACGGATGTGATTGAATGGAGAGTATGTTTCACTTGTGGTTTTGTACGAGAGACAAATGTGCCACGTCTACTGAAACAATTAATTTCATGCAAACATACTCTATCATCAAACTCATCGCATAGAATTAAGAGTCGGATAGTTAACCAAAGGCCATCCATATAAAAATTGCCTACGTCTGTGACCTGCTGAAATGCCGTAATATTCAATTAAACTAAATGCAACGAAATTAAAGAAATGGCAACTATGCATCGTTTGATCAAATTGAATTCCATGAATTGTGTGATGCGACCTTAGCCTGCCAATTCTATCGTCGTATTTGACCGCGATTCACACATAAACACATCATCGTCACCGTAAGTGACCGTAAGTTTCTAACCGATTCGTTTAATTTATATTATCTTTTGCTCTTTTACTGACTGCCACCATAGAATTCTGCATGCGATAAATCATCAAAAGCTGCGAATTCGATAAATCTTCTATGTGTTTAATTAAATATTTTTGAATAAACGATACATTGCGTGGTTGAAATGGAATTGGTTCTGAATTACTTCAGAATGAACACGAGTGCGGAACAAAAACCGCAAATTCAGAATGCTTCCGGCGGAGTAAATCCAGCGCTGAGGTAAAAAATCGTTTGCTTTGGAAAAATAAAAAGTGGATTTTGATAATTCAAATGTACAGCGAAAAAGAATATGTTGATGCATGTATATCGGGCGATAATTCGTGTTTATACTCTCTGTGTATGTGCCACATTTATTAATTGAATTTTGCATAAATGATATACTCTTGCCCATGCCCATTCGCATACATTATTTTTCATTCATATGACCATTTGTCATGCAATAAGAATAAGATACATTCACAAACTATACACGAGAGCAAAGCGATGGAAAAAAATTCATGTATTTAAATTAGGCATTTAAGGAGAGCTTACATTTCTATAGAATTTCTTCTTTCGTTTCATTTTCAGAATCTTTTTATTAGGAGGCTTTATTGCAACCAGAACGAAACTGTGCGCAGCTAATTTGACTGGCATCAACAACAACACCGTATCAGCATTAATCGTCAAACATATACCAGAAAGCCGATCACATTAAATCTCAATTAAATCTCACACAGTGCATCGTATCAAAGTAATAATCATTGAAGAGAGAAGTGAACTGCATCCAAAGTCACAATTCAGCAACCGACAGCAATACATATCAATTCTGATAATCTAATCATATTCATATCAGTGCAAAAGTTATAGCAAAAAAAGGGAGAATAAGTTCTCTCAGTTTTCCACTTATTCAAATACATTTAAAATAAAAGTGACCAATAAAATTCCGATTGTGCGTGTTTTTTTCTCTCAACAACTCTCTCTCTCTCTTCGTGTAAGTGAAATTACATAACATAAGGGAAAAAAGGAAACATGTCATTAAAACGTGATTATAAAACAAAAACTGACGATGAGAAGGAGCTCGAACCATTAGGCGGACCAAAGTCACCGGATAAAGAATCAAAAACGAATGGAGTTCAGTTCGGTGAGTATATATAATACGTTCGTTTTAATATGAATGCAACAAATTATATTATTATTGATTCCTGAATTCGCGAAGTTTGCACCGAGTTTTATAGTAAAAAAAACAGTGAGGCGAATATGTTAAAAAACACACTCAAATGAAATTGAATTACATGTTTGAAACTATGCAACATCGGTGTGACATTTGGAATTTTTCCTTCAGCAATACACCTGATGTATGTTTGTGTAGAACAACGTATGCGAAATAATTCTGAGACACAATTATGGCCTCATACTGAGGCGTTGAAGCGATTAATTTGGACGCACTTCATGCAATTTTCGCCAGCTTCCCTCTGAGTAGATGTGCTTGTATGAAATTTCTGTAAAAGTTCAAAGTTCCATTATGCATCGAGTGTGTTGAAAAAATTTCACCAACTCAACTCGTTCTAAGAAAAGTTTCATACAAAAATCATGTCAAATTTTGCCAGACACATTTTTTTCAACATTTTTTCGTCTGACAAAAATAGACATGTTTTTTACATGAAACTTTTTTTCGCACCAAAAGTAATAAGATGCTTATTACAATCTTATTACAGTAATAAAATGAAAGTAATAAAGTAATAAGTTACTTATTACTTTACTTCTATAACGCGCGCCCCCGTTCTTCAATGTGTAAAAAATGATGTGTCGCGTATGTATGATTTCTGTATGATTTCCCTGCAGCCGTCATGCAAATGCCAGAAGAGTTTTGCACGTGAGAGCAGGGGAAAAAAATCACATGCACTGCGACAGTAATCCATTTTCATTTGGATCGCTTTTGTTCTAACGAACCATCGGCACATTCCTATATTTTGGATCGCATATATTTCCGTATGCATGTGTGTGTGTCTCTCTCTCCCTCACAGGCTCCTTCACTGTTTATCTCAAACCAGCGTCGTATTCGCTCTATATGGAATACTGTGTTTTTAGGTCGCATGAACATTCGCCATAACACACATCATACACTTTTATTTGAGTTATTCTGCCGTTTTTTTTAAATTTCGTTCTCCACCACACAAATACATGTACACACATACACTCCCGCGCGCGCTCCCTATTCATTGTTTTCAATTTCAGTTTTATTCATAATAAGCACGTATTTCCCGGTGTTCACATTCAACAAATTCCATTTCATCGAATGGAGCAAAAAGAAGGAAAAAAAATTGAACACAAAAAAAGTATGGCAGAAGAAATAAGTAAACACCAGTTGAAGTACTTTTAACTGAGGAAGAGAAAACGCTGAGTTGAAATCACATGGCGCGCGTTTTTTCTTCTCATTCATTCATCTTGCCTATTTGTTGCTGGTGTTTTGATGCTGCCGATGTATTGAGTGCAAGTGACTTCTTGTAACATCGCCGACGAACGAACATGTTTATAAATATGAGTGTAATGACGAAAAACACGAACGAAAGAGAACATTTTTTTTGATGCGTTATTATATGCATGCGAAATGTGTCGCGCCGTGAAAAATAAATGGAGTGACGAGAGGGTGAAAAAAGCGGCAGAGTAATTTCAAATAAATGTCAAAGACGTATAGAATGAATGTATGCACATTTCTGTGTGCATCCGATGCAAACGCAGTAAGGATCCCAGCTATGCCTTGAGAACTCTTGTCACTTTTTCCCTCTTGCTACTCTCTCTCTCTCTCTCTCTCTATCTCTCTCTTATTGTTGCCTTATTTCCTCGCAGTAGGCAAAAGAGTCAGGGAAAAGAACACGTGCAAAATGTAGGTTGTGTTACAAATCCATTGTTTTCCGCGCTCGCTAATCATGATGCCTTTCATTCATACTAAATATCCCATTGAAGCGAGTGTATTTGTCGTCAATTTTCTTTTGGTGACATTTTTTTTCCATCGGCTGTTATCCTTATTTTCTCTCTGTGCGGCACTCGGTTCCCCATCGCCGATGGTGAAACATACAGGCGATAGTCATGATTTCAGCTTTTGTTCCAGTTTTTTCTGCTGTTTTCGCTGCTGCTGGTAGTGTTGCTATTGCTCTTCGTCTTTTCATCACGTTAAAAATGGTTTACCATTGTGTTATTAAATGCATTAGGCAGTGATTGACTTTAAGCACTAGAAAAATAAGGTCGAGAGACTTGTAATGTATTGTAATGCATGGTATTTGAACTTGTTAGCATATTCATCAAGAGAAATCACAGTAAAAGCTTTGCTCGACATTTGCAACGACAAAGTGAATAGGAAAATCAAACAAACGTCGTTGTTTTCATTTTCTTTCCCATTTCCTCTCATTCTGAACGACACGTCTGGCAGATTTGTGATCAAAATTGTACAAAACTCACAAGCTCCAAGACAAAGACTGTTGAAGAGTTCATGTTCGTTTTATGTTTAAGATGAGTTCATAGACATTATTCATGATGTAATCTTATTCTTCTCTTTCTCTTCTGTAGCCGAAAAAATGTGTACTGAATATGACACATTTCATGAGCTAAAAGCAATCTAAAGTTTTTTTAGTTGAGTATAAAATGTACACACTCCTTCACAAACAGTTATAGCTTTACGCGATTTTAGTAGTTGTTCGTTGGAGCAGTGTGTAACAAAAAGAATTGCGTGAACTCATAATTATGTCACATAAATTAAGCTCTTTTTTGCTCCTACTGCCCCCGCACAAAATGCGAAATGCGACCTCTTGAAACACTCGTAATCATTGCTACTAAATGAACACTTGAACTACATGGCAACAACGTTTCTAGATCTAAAAAAACACTATATCTCATAATAATCATGAAAATCATTGTAAAAATGTTCGCCACTTTCATAAGTCCAGTGTGAGCGATTTGCATGTGTGTGTGTGTGCGTGTGTGTGCTTAGGATGAGCGAGCCGCGAAGCAAAAATAATGCTATGCCATATGAATCGCAATTTTTCTGGACGCTTGTTGTTTTGCAACGCTTTTTGTTACAATCGCCATTCGTTTTCTGATACCATCCAGCGAAAAATGCAACCATTTCATATTGTTCACAGAAAGAGCTTATATCTTGTGTACATATGTGCATACAATAAGCAAACGCTACCTAATGTGCATTTACAATTGTGCACCATTCAGCAAACCTCCGTCGACTCCATTGAAGTCATAGTCATTTGTCTTTTGCAATTGTACTCTTGTACTCTAGTAGTTGACAATGGTTGCTTGGATGCCGACTCATCCGCCCGTTCACCATGTATCTTCGAAATGCCGTTAGATCAGCTTTAGCAATATAGTTTTTGATTATCGGACACGTAATATATTTTAGTGTCTACCATCGAGCGATTTTTGGATCGATATCATCACACACCATCCTAAATTATTGCTTGAACCATTCGCCCAACATCAACATCACCATAAACACAAAACTAATTCGCAATGAACAAATACATTTTTGCTGACATTTGATTCAAGTATATATTTTTGTTGAACAATAAAATCAGGCTTTTCCCCATGATACGATTTAATAATAGTCATTGAGATTGACTATAGCATATGGCTCCATTCAATATTGATATGATCTCTGCTGGTCGCCGAATGAATGCAAAAATCTTACTGCTTTTCTTCCTCTTTCGAGGAATTGCATTTTATTTTCATTTTTTTCTGATCTTGTTGAGAGTTTTTCGCCGTCTACACCATTCGGTTTAATCGAATCCATCCAATTAGTGCAATCTTTATGCACTTGTATTCTGGCGCGTCAAATGAGTGAATATCGCATTTAATGCTAACCATATGCTTGTTGTACACAATAGTATAGACCGATTTGTCGTCTGTGCAATTTATAAGCACATTCACAAATTGTTTTGCTAGATATGAGAATAAAATTTATGATAATGACGACTGTCGTTCGAATTCGCGCTTGCACAAGCACAGCCACAGTCATACACAGTGTTGTGAGACCATAGGTTAATCTGCATACGTGATTCAATTGTAGTTTGCATTGATTTGCGGATTTAATTGCAAAATGGGGACTAGAAACAAGCATTTCGAACACCTAATTGATTCATTAAAGTGAAACGAATTTTTTTTTTCGCCCGAAAATAAGCTTCGCCCACAACATTCCAGAAATAACAAACGGCTACAGTGCAATATTAACCGATAAATCTCTGTATGAAACGTTGCACAAAACATTTCGAACATCATTCGCAAAACCGTTGGGAATCATTACGAATACAGCAAGAAAAGAAAAGAAATTTTATCTAAATCTCCAGCACTACTGCTCACAAGTCGCATCGTCGGCGAATCTATTCGACACAATCAGGCGGTTTTAATGCAAAAACTGGGCAGTCGGGAATGTATTCAGTGCGATGGTCGGCTCATTTCGTTGTTGTCGAGATGGGGAATGGTCACATATGTCGGCGTTTTCATCGCAACAGCGTAATTGCCTGTTGACTGTGCCAGTATTTTATCGAAGATTGGATAACGAGAAAGAAATTAACAGACTGGAGTATTTGAAACCGGAAAATATATGCCTTCCTTATGTTACTCCAGCAATTGTCACCATTTTGAATGACTGAATCGCCATTTTTGTCTGGTTGAGATTCACTAAATGAGCTGGCAAATCGGATTCAGCAGCGACCAATAGTCCGATTTAAGTGAAAAATAAATGCCAAGAATGAAATATCAGAAGTGTTTGCAAAATTTTTTACATACCAGCAAAAAGGCACGACGGAACCCAACATCATTTGGAACTCTCTTTCTCTCTTGGGCTGCTATCATTTTTTTTCGTCGGACAATTATTATTGTAGCATTAATTCGAGTTGATGCCGGTTTTGCTGCTGCCAAAAACCACATACATTTTCAAATGTGGGGAGGATGTGTGATGGTGTTTGTGTTCATGTTCGCCCGTGTACGTCGCATCGTACAATTTAATATATATCTGAGGAAGAATCTCAAAGTGTCTGCTCGTTATACGCTCTATGTCGCGAATCCGTCTGATACATTGCCTCATGATAACGCGTCTAACTTGAAAATTATGGATTTTGTCTGTGAGACGCGCACCATCTTACGTACAGTATATAATATCGATTGCCAAAAAGGAGCAGTTAACAACTGCTCGGTTTATGGGATCTACCATCATCCGAACTGCTTGCGAAAGCCAATTTTCTAAAACAAATACCTAAAGTTGAACTGAAGGGAAAAAACCACCACATACCGTACGGTTCGAATGAATGCGTTGCAATGCAAGTCATGCATTTTAATGGATTTCGATTAATTGCTTGGCTAGAAGCGAACGAATTTTCGCATAGCGCTACATGCGGCTTCTCAGGATGCCTTACAAATTTAATACATCAATTTCAAACGAACTAATTGATGCTCTCTGTACACAAATGCGAATATTCATATCGATTTTGTATTGAGTTTGAAAATTGGAAATTGCAACTTCGAATTGATACCATAAAATCCGATGAAAAATATTATATTAAACACTGGGAAATTGGTTGTATGTGCAGCATGAAATCTTCGAGACATTACTTATTGTTGACATTATAATGTCAATTTCAGATAATTTGATGGTAAATAATTGAAGATTTGCCTAAATTCAAAGTGACATGAATGTATGCTATGAATGCCGAATGCTGGTGTGTAATGTGTACAAGTGTTGGTTCCACTGATTCCACATACACACATATACACGCACAGACTGAGCATTGTTGTTGTGATTACTGGTCGAGTGATTTTCATCTTGAATTTTCACATTAACATTTGTTTGTCTGTATGCTTTGCCGTCGTATGGATATAGAAGCGGCAACAATGACTGACAACAACAATGATGAATAAAACCGATATAAACATGCAATACATGCATATATATACATGTATATAGTGTATATATTCATTTTCCAATCCACAAAATGCCGCACACACACACATACATACCCACTCGTAATCATAGAGTACAGAAATCAACGACTGGAGGAAAATGCTTTCATCCCTTGCCAAAAAATATTATTTTGTACTATAACGAAGAGGAACACAAAAAAAAACACACAAATTCAAAACACTACCGACCAGATATATGCCATGAAACATCCAAGCAACAGAAACCCACCGAAATTATATATGAGAGAATCGTGTACAATCCACGAGAGCGGATAGCATACGAAAAACTCGATGGAAAGAAACACGGTGGATATTTTGGATGGACGCATGCGCCCCGAAAAATCGAGAGATATACGAGAATGTTTCAACGTCAAAACCAAACCAAACCAAACCAAAACTGAACACAAACGAGCCAGAGTACCGAATCAGTCAGTCAGTCTTGTGTTAGAGTTTTTCTCGTTCCGTCCGCATCATCCATACGAATCACTTTTACCTTATATCAGTTAACCGACTTACTACAATTGCAGCAACTTTTCAATGTGACACTCATGTACTCTGTATTTTTTCCGCATTTGATTTGTGTTTTGTGTTGAGTTTTCGGAACACAAAAAAAAAAAATATATATATATATATATATATACGTGAAGAGAAGTGAAAATATGACAAGTGTTTAGTGTGTCAAGCGGAATTTTATGTAAGAATTAATATTTAATCTTCCGCCGAAAACCAAGTTGAGAAGAAGATTTTTGTGGGGAACACGGAGGACCCGAAGAAAAAATAGTGTTGATGAGATTGCCAATGAAACGAGCAGAAAAATGGCAAAGAAGTTACATTGAAAACAGATAACGCGAGTGGTGCTCGATGCTACCGCACACATTCGGTGAAGGATTTCCCAATGCTTCGCAACGAAACACCACTTACAATACAATCGACCGAATCGTATGTGCATTTTATAGTGTTTCGTATTCGAAAATCATCTATTTGGCACACATACGGACGCATCGTTTGATGTGCAGTTGGGGTAGAAATTCTTCGGCTAACGGTACACGATAGATTGTCCCATTGTTTGTGTGTATGTATGTATGTGTGTGTGCGTGCCTGCCTGTATGTGTATGTGTATGTGTGTATATATTGTGCAATGAGATAGAGGATGGTGAGTGTGTGGGTATAAAACGAGGAATCGGAACACAGATGATTCGGAATACACATGTATGCATAAAGCATTGGTGAGATATGGTAGGGTGTTTTGGAAGAGAGAACCACGAAAAACGAAATTTACATTTGCGTTCGATCCATCTGTTTGCGTTGTGTATGTCGTTGTGAACGTGCGTTGCGTTTATCATTGAACACCGAGTACATGAATCTTCTTCCTCTTTTTCTTCTTCTTCTTCTTTTCTTGTTCCGTTTGATATACACGGCGTTTGGCTTGCGAATACATCGAATTTTAAGCATTCAAGTTCTTCGACCATTTCGAGAACAGTGTGCGTGTTTGCATTCTCTCGAATATTGTTGCGATTTAGTCGACGCTTTTTCATCTTTCTTTTCCCTCTTTCTCTACCAAATCTATCACCCACTTGATGTTGCGCTCGCAAATTGCGTTCACCTATCGTTTTCGCGGCCAACAACAACTGTCGGCTTTCAGCTCTTTTCCGCCCAACAGAAACGACTAAATTCAAGTGCCAACGATATTAACGTCATCACGCCGAGACACTGGCAGCAATATAAATAAGTTATTATCGAAAAATTGACGCACGCTTAGTTTGAGAAAATATATTGCTTATTTTGTTGATGACAAACATTCATTTATTTTACTGGCTCAGTGGACTCTTAATAAACTAATATTAACAATTTAATTTTGAATTTCGTTAATCACGATCACTTTTACTTTTACTCATTGAATGAATAATGCTGGTGAAAAAAGTTTTTTTCTGGTATAACAGTGTCATTTATGTGTGGCTAAAACCACTTGAAATACTCCGTTTGAAGCACTCCATGGTTGGTGATTCTATTTGTAAATACTTGACACGGTTTTAGTGAAGCAAACTAGTAATCTCGGAAAATAATATTACAAGCCAAAGTTTCACTACATGGTTCAGAACAATTTTCGATTGCCGTCCATCCATATCGCCATTTCAAAACAGTGTCAACAATGAAAACAAATTATTCAAGATTTGGAAATGCGAAAAGACATAAACACACAAAGTGGTGTTAAAATTGGCGAATAAGCACTGTCAATAGAGGTTTTTTTCAAGTGTGTACCCGAAATATGCGTATCAAAGGCAAACAACAATGACAACTAAAGCGTAGAGAAGAAGAAGAAGCGGCAGAACAAGTAGAATAGAAGGGCACAATGCCAAACGCATAGAATGGACTTTGTCGGTGACCATTGTTCATTGAATTTCAAATGAAGAGTAAACACGGTTCTGATTCTGATTCATTTTCATTACGATTCCTCGGTTTGCCAAAAAAAAAAATACAACTACGGTACATTTTTAGCGTTTCGATGCATGGTCGATTCTACGTATGTGCAATACTGACATCAACAGACATAAACAGATATAGAAGAAATTATAAACGATAATAGAATTGAATGTAAAGTGTACGTGTACACAGTGGATAGAAAAAAGGGACTAACACATGATGGCCACATAATTTGATGTGTATGCCGTTTGAAAGAAACGCGTGTGTTTTGGACCGGTGAATGGAATACGAGTTGTATATTTCATATAATTAAAAAGAAGTTCATTTATGCAAACATCAAACAAACGGACAATACGTTGGTTCAAGCCCGATCAATTGTGTATTATTTGTGAAACTCCTGTTCATCGATCCGTACGAGAAAAAAAAACGGCTTAATCAAATACCAAAAAGTGAATAATATAGACGTAGCCACAACGTTTGACGAGACAATCTCGTCGTTTCAATAATACAAAAGGAAAATCCAACAACAGAAAGGAAAAAAGAATCATTTGTTTTTTTTTCATTTACCAAAAGCCAGTATTGTGTGATTCGAGTACGAAGGGAAGAAGAACTCTTCCCACCGAACGGTCATATATTGGCAGGTAATCAACGTAGCGGACCTGTTAAGGTATCTGTTGTTGGCGGTGGCCAAGGTGGATCGAAAATTTGGCGCCGCGAACGTATCGAAATGACAGATCCAGATTTAGATGATGTTGCCTTTTTATCAGGTGTGTATTGGCCGAATTTATTCGGCATTCTCCCTCCCCGAAATCAAACGATATAAATCAAGATTTCTGTTGCTGAGTGTGTTTAATTCTTAAATCAAAATGTGGTAGCAAACGAATTCAGGAAGCAATAACACTAAAGACGTTCTCTGTACACAATCGACCTTCGGCTTTCGGCTTTGGGTCTTAAGTGTGAGAGACGACGATACTCATCATTGCAAATCAAAACAAACTCTTTATCTATTTACTAAAATATTAAACGTGTTACATTTTGCAGGCGGTGATAGTAGCGGTGGTCGGCAAACACGTAACGGAGTTGCGGTCTGTTCACAGAAACGTGCACTCTGTGTTACCGCAATCGTTTTAGCTGCTCTTCTGGGAACGGCACTTGTTATAGCTTACGGGGGCCCACAAAATGGCAAGCATTTTTGACTTCTTTTCTTATATCTTTTAGTATTAAGTGTGTATATACATATATTTATCCATAAAAATAGTAAATTTCCTTTTCCTGCCTTTGGAATATTTTCGATGCCAATTCTTCTCAACGTTTGTGGGCAAATTGCAGCCGGGCATTGGCAAATGTTTCATTGCAAACATTGCACACGAGCAATCTCGGCTCAGTGCTCATTGCTCACTTCTCTTATTTTTGTGTGAAATGTGTACGCAGCAGCGTTCGGTAATTCACACACTCTCTCTATGTCTTTCATTTTTATCACCGGACAAATCAGGCATACCAAACGGTTGCCTTTCATCCCTCCTAAGTCACTTTAGCACGTCATATTCACATTCATCGATTACACTATTTGTCGGAACACTTTATCAGGCATACGTGTTTATTTACTCTCAAACTGTAAACTCAATTATGTATTAAATCCGTTTAATGACCATAAAAAGTGGATTTCACGCATTTCGAGTGGATGGTGTGTGTTTGATTTTCAAAGTCGAATCGGTAGTGATACGGTGTTTGATTATTTTTTGGTTCGAACATTTCCAGAGATTTGACTACCAAAATTGGTATTTTAATCACTAATCCATATTTACATTCAGGTTACACAATTTGTCTATTGATTTATATTTATTTCAACTCTGAATCAATTTCTATGGCTTGTAGAATGAATAGAAGCCCTGAAGCGGTGCTGGTCCAAAGTGCTAATGAAAAATCGATTTTCTCTCTCTCTCTCTCTATTTCGCCATTCGGAACACCGGCAAACGAACGATATCGTTGGAAAATCACCGGAGCCGCACTTCAACCACGTTTTGCTTGCATTTATGTTTTTCGATGCTGAGGTTTCAATTTAGGAAATTCTCGCGCGAATTCATTTTGTGTTTTCAACTGGTGTGGCATGACCACAGTATAACAGTAGTGCGAAAATGGTTGAACCAACAGTGTCTGTGTGCCGAATGTAAATGGTTGTTTGAGATCAATTTTGTGTGTGAGATATTTACTGTGTGTGTAGCAAGCGATAGAGTGTGTTCTTATCACCAGCCAGCAATATTACACACAATTTCGGTGCATAATGCAGACTGATCCATGCAAGGGACCAAAAAGCAGTCATCGAAAGAAAAGTCTGCATATAAAATGGTGCAAGTGTGTATTTTACGTATGAATTGTGAGCTATTTATTACTTTCATTCGCTTGTTAGATGTGTGAATGAATGAACGAATAAAATTTGCAGAGCGTAGAAGACATCTGATTCATCATCAGGCACACCGAGCGCAACAGCAACAGCATACCCAAGACACATACACCAGCATCGTGTATATATAACGTGCACACATACATGTCTAGCAAGTGCAAGAAGTGAAGTGAATTAACGGCATCTTGGTATACAATCGACAAAGAAAATCCAGCGAAAAATTGAGAATGGCGTTCAATGTGCACACAATTTTCACCGAGTATTCAACACACGGTCTTCACTTCATTAATATTTCCAAGGCAGCAACTGATTATGCGAGGGGTGAACTGTTGTAAAAAGATATTGCCTTTGATGATCAATACCAAGCGCCGGCTCCCAACCTACTGAGAACACAAATATGTTTACCATAAAAAATTCTCTTTTTTTCATCACATTCTTTTCACTTTGGACGTTTTCGTTTAATTTTTTTTTAGGATTCATTTTGTGCTGCTTTTTCCATTGAGTTCTGTTCCCTTTTTTGCTGTTGCTGTTGTTGTTGTTGATGGTGGTGGTGGTTATAGTGGTGTTTTATTTTTCGTTTGCTTTGAAAGCCGTTATCGTCCGAATGTATAAATGCTAGTGCATAGCTAGGTGCTAGTTGCAAATAGCCTACTGGCGGCAATTCTATTGCCAAGCATGCTCCTGCTGCTGCTGCTGTTGCTGCTGCTTGTTGTGAAACATGTACAATGTACGAATGTATTTGTGCGTTTGAAAACTTATGCGTTGCGAATCGAAAACGAAATTCTAGAAAAAATTCCAAAGTTGTGGCGTGTGTTGTGATGCGATGCACGAAGGGTAGATTTCGTCGAGATATGAGTCTGCTTCGTTGCTTCAACATTTCCAGTACAGTTTCTTTGTGTTGATAAAGTCGTCGTCATCATCATAGGCAAACAGTTCACCGCCCTTACATTTTTTGTCGTTGCTGCTGCTGTTGTTGTTGTTATTGTTGTTGTTGCTGCCACTTATGTCGAAAACTTTACCCCCAAATTTGAATCTACACACCAATCTCGCTCTGAAATGTATCGCACTGGTTTCTGTAGCAAGTGTTTCGAAACTGAACACACGAGTGTCAGTGAAATGAGTATAAGTCAGCCGTCATTTTCAAAAATGCATTAAGAAGCTTGCACGAAATTGAATAATGAGCTTGAAAATGAAAAGAACAGAAAAAAAAACGAATTGGAAAATGAAATAAATTCACAAATTATTCAAATTCATTTTTGGTAGCATGTTTTCCATTCGAAACGCATCAATGGAAGGTCGAAGATGTGCTGAAAATTCATCAAGAAAAATGGCTCATTCTAAAAATTGATCTGATTGCTTCCCACTGTTTGTATTTCGATTTATCTTCGGCGTTTGTTTTTGTATTAAACTAACAACTTATTTGCGCTGCCGTGTTTCAGTTCGGTTCAAAATTGTTTATGTTTATTCAGTGCTAGATTGCTTGCATTCAATGGATTCAGGATGAACATTAGTTTGGCAACGAAGAAACGAAAACATCATATGACAAATTAAGTTGCCGCTCGAAAATGCTGTCATTATCGGGGAAAATTCCAACTTGAAATATCAACTGGTCATGTCGAATTTTAAAAATGCAAAACACAATGGTATATTTAATTTTATAAGCGTAGCTCCCAAATGGAATATCATACGTATTCAGATTGAGTCGAAACGACGAGGGCTGGTAGGTAATTCTTTTATGAAATATTAACGACCAGCCAGTTTTATAATGACGTTGCCCTTCGAATAAGTAAATTTATTCAGAAAAATTTCAACATGTTCATTGATGGGTCGCAAAATTTCGAAGCAATTATGGCAACGGCAAAATTATGTAGGATTGTCAGGTTTTAAAAAGAAAGGGGGATTATCTATGCAATTTGGCTATGGCTTTACAACATGAACCATGACAACTGAAAGAGGTAGTCATTTTCAAATGGAACTGGTGAATGAATAAAAGAAGAACTTTCGGCGATGTCAAACGGAAGTGGATACGACTTTTTCATGAAAATATTCGAACTGCCGTTCGATGTGATCGGAAATCGGTATGCCCCAACCATTGTCTAAATCATGATATCGAATATTGGAGATCATTAATATGCGGTAAATTCAAGCAAATTGCTAAAATGGTTTCGTATACTTTCGAGCGGCTTTCCCCATGAATAGTCCGTCGCATCGTATTCGTCAGCCAAATGACAATGATGTTGTTAACAAGAGCCATTGAAACCTTTCGATTTGTAATTTATATAATTCGAAATAGAGCAGATTTTTGATATTCCGCCGAATCATGATCCGATTAAGAATGGCCGATTTACAAACAGACATAACGATTATGTGGCGAGAATCACATTTATGACAAAATGCTTGTCCGCTTTGCGGGCAATCAGTGGTGATATGTTGCTGTATTCCTTGTGTGTCAAAATGGCCAGTAAATGTGTTTCGTTATGCAGAATAGAGGGAATGCTTCGTTTATTAAAGTGAACATAAATGAAAGTCTATGACCTCATAACTCATTTAACTAAACAAGCGCACGCATACACACATTTTCACCCAAAGAAGTGAAAACATCTTTTGTGCTATATATTTTAGTCAGTTCGTTTCGCTGATGTGCAAAACATTTGTATTCATTCCTTTTCAACTCTATGAATAAGAACCCGTGTGCAAATAAAATGACTAACAGTCACTCAGTTGTATGTAACTGCATATAGTGATACACAACTAAAACTGGCTAAGTTGATTGAAATCATGCGTTTTGTATGGAGACAATCACATTATGTTTTAAGTCAGTCGACGAATTTGGGACATTTTGACTAAGAGTGATTTGTGATTAAAGTTAACTGCAGTTGCTTATTTTGTTCGAGACAAACACTTTGAGTCAGTCAAAATGTCCCAAATTAATCAACTGACTAGTTAGTCAAAAATTTTCCACACGGGTAGCTAAAAGAAAAGCACACAAACACATTCACATACACTGATTTTCACTTTGCCTAGTGGTCTGCATCGGAGGCAAACCGGTACACACACACACACATACTCTCAAAAACGACCACCACTTCCCTTCTCTGAATTCTCTGTATTCAGGCTGATTTTAGTTCAGTTGAATGTCGACGAACGATTTCATTGCACAGAGACTCGACTCGACTATACTGTACCCATACTGTCGTTGTATTGTGCGCCCCCCGTTCACCTTTGTTTTGTCAACGCGCTTTGTATGAACATTTATACGAGTGGGGAAAACAAACGACGGCAATAGTACACACAGCAGAGGCATTGAGCGCACAGGCAACCACTTCACCCTTGTTGCTCCGCATAAATATGCAATAATGTTTTTAATATAGTTCGTTTTCTATCTTTTTTTTCAAACGTGTTTTTCTTCCATTTCTCCGCAGCGTGTACACAAAGCACACGGATCGTCAACATAAAAACACAACATACAAACATTCACATACTGATAAAACGAATTCATTTCCATTCCATTCTTTATGTTTCATGTTTTGTGTATACAATGTCAAAATTTCGCATTAGAAACATTACGTTACAATAACAGCTACCGTGTACTACTGTTCGTTAGAAGCACTGTTGGCTCTACTGCCAACACCACCCCACCACCACCGTCAAAAATTCATCAGTTTTGTGTGACAAAGAGGCCAATGCACGGCGGTAACGGTGTTGACAGAATGCGAAAATGCTTATCATCATTCTTACAACTAACATTGCTTTCAACTCCAACGGTTATTCGCAAACGAAA